TGGTGTCTGAAAAACAAACTGAGGGTTCTAGAGGGGAGAAGGGTGGGGGGATGGGTTAGCCTGGTGATGGGTATTAAAGAGGACACGTTCTGCGTGGAGCACTGGGTGTTATGCACAAACAATGAATCATGGAACACTACATCCAAAACTAATGATGTATGGTGGTTAACCTAACATAATAAAAAAAATTAAAAAAAAAAAAGAATAGCCACAGGACAACTTGAAAAAATTACTATCTCTGAAGGGAAAATGTCAAGGAATATGTAATTTCCTATGTAAGAAACCTCATCAGAGCTAGGAAAAGATGGACATTGGCCCAGTTCGTGTTTTAAATTGTGATAAGAAACACACATTTACCATATCTGTTGTTTTTAAGTGTACAATTCAAGTAGTGTTAAGCATATTCACATATTGTGAAGCAAATCTCCTGAACTTTTTTTTTTTTAAAGACTTTATTTATTTGACAGAGAGAGGGAACACAAGCCGGAGGAGTGGGAGAGGGAGAAGCAGGCCTCCCGTTGAGCGGGGAGAGCCCGACGCGGGGCTTGATCCCAGGACGCTGGGATCATGACCTGAGCCGAAGGCAGACGCTTAACGATTGAGCCACCCAGGCACCCCCGAACTTTCAAACAGTTCATTTTTTTAAAAACTAGCACATCTGATTTCAAAATTCCGTATTATCAGTAGATCTGTAAAAACAGTGTATTTATTTTTTATTTTTTTAATCTTTTTTTTAGAATAGATTTTATTCATGAGAAAGAGAGAGAGCACAAGCAGTGGGGGGGCAGAGGGAGAGGCAGACTCCCCACTGAGCAGGGAGCCTCACATAAGACTCGATCCCAGGACCTGAAGATCATGACCTGAGCCGAAGGCAGACACTCAACCGACTGAGCCACCCAAGTGCCCCAAAATAGTTTCTTTAAATCAAATAATTGAAAGCAATTTTTTATAAAAAATTCTGGGTGGAAAGTGCAGAGGAATTGAAAGGCCATTTTGCCGCCACCCCCCCCCCCCCACCCCGCGGAGGAAATGCTCCGTTTCCGGCGGGTCATGCATGGGTGGTGGCTCCTGTGGTGGAAGAAGCCGCTGACCCCCAGAAAGAGGACAGCAGGCTTCGCCTGTCGAGGCAGTCGCAAGCCTGTGGCACCGCTGGGCTGGCAACAGCATCCTGTCTGGAGGCAGGAATCTGGATCCAATCAGCGGCTCCACACGGGCAGGGGGTGGGCTGGCCGCTGCCAGGGAGCCACCCGCGGTCAGAGTCAGAATGGGAGCCGGCTTACGGGATGGATAGCTGGTTTCTCTGCGGGCGAAGGTCAAAACGGGAGAGCCCGAGAGCCACAGGGCTGAGTGTCACTTGTGGCCCTCATCAGGGTCCTGATTCAAACACACCCACCATGAGGATAAACCTTTGGAACGGGCGGGGAGATTTGATATTATCAGATATATATGAATTTTTGCTGGTGTCAGTGTGATGATAGTGCTGTGGTTCGATGTAGGGTTGCATACTGAAGTATTTGTGGGGGGCGTAGTTTGATGTCTGAAATTTGCTTAGGGGAGACTAAGATCACATATTGATAATCAGCCTCATTCTGCTGGTCTCCCCATTTTATGAATGGGTGAAAATACCCATATTAAAAGTTAGAAGTAGGGGCTCCTGGGTGGCTCAGTCAGTTAAGCAAGCATCCGCCTTCGGCTCAGGTCATGATCCCGGGGTCCTGGGATGGAGCCCCGCGTCGGGCTTCCTGCTCAGCGGGGAGCCTGCTTCTCCCTCTCCTGCTGCTCCCCCTGCTTGTGCGCGCTCTCTCTTTCTGACAAATAAATAAAATCTTTAAAAAAAATAATAAAAGAAAAAAATGTAATCCTCATATTGCATTAAAAAAAAAAAGAAATTGTAAAGTCAGGCGTAGGATTCTGTTTGGGCCGTGGGGGAGAGCAGCTGTGGGTCCCTGCGGTGTCCCCTCCTGTGGGAGCACAGAGGAGCGAGGTGCCCGCCAGTCTCAGCGCAGAAGAGCCTGGTCGCCCGGGCGCTAATGGTCTTTAATGGAGCAGCTGTTAGAATCGATGGTTGGTAATTTTGCCAAGTTAAGAAATTTGTAGGGGCGCCTGGGTGGCTCAGTCATTAAGCGTCTGCCTTCAGCTCAGGTCATGGTCCCAGGGTCCTGGGATGGAGCCCCACATCGGGCTCCCTGCTCAGCGGGAAGCCTGCTTCTCCCTCTCCCGCTCCCTCTGCTTGTGTTCCCTCTCTCCCTGTGTCTCTGTCAAATAAATAAAGTCTTTAAAAAAAAATTGTAAAAATAAGTTCCTTGAGCGCTGCAGTCATCGGTTAGAAATACCATTGTGAGAAGTCTCTCTTCTAGTAGAAAAGCTGAAGCCGGAAACGCCTCTGATCAGAAATCCACGAAGGGGAGGACCCTCAGGGGCACCAGGAGGGTTGGAGGCACGACAAAGTATGTTCCCAGACGTGAGGACCCATATTCTTCCCCCACTCTAGACTTGGTGCGATTCTAATGAAAATCCCTGTGACATTTTCAGCGGGACCACGTGTCCTTTTCAGATCTGAAAGTGTCCTAAAGCTGCCAAGTCTGACCGTGTGGGTGGGTCAGTGTGGGGATGTCGGTGGCCAGGCCCTTGGGGTGCACCTGGCACATAGGAAATTCTGCTTTATTTGTGAATACAGGGGTAGGACGTGTACACACGTAAATGCAGGCTCGTGTATTGTGTGTGTGGAGCATTCTTTTCGGCAAAGGCCCCTGCGCCAGCTTCTGTGCTGGGAAGGGGCAGTGTCAGCTCCGCCCGTTTGCTGGGCAGCCCTGTGGGGCCGGGGAGTGGGGGGGTGGAAGGGACCCAGTGCCCCGTACCTCCACGACGCTGCTTCAGGAAGTAGGTCCCAAGGAAAGAGCGCAAAGGGCTGGAAAAGCTTTGTTTAGAAAGACACACACACACACACCACACACACACACACACACACCACACACACACACACACACCACACACACACCACACACACACACCACACACACACACACCACACACACCCACCCGCACACACGCACACCCCACTAGTCCCAGCCTGCTCGTGCAGCTCTGGAAGATTGGCGGTGACCTACTGGATAATCTTTGTAGAATGTACTGGTATTTAGGTAATATTCACGAAGCTTTTTAATCACATGAGAAACACACGTTATAAAATGAAGGAAATGGAATGTGAAATTAGACACTGTGTGATCACTGTGGAACCACCTTTAAAAGGTGTTACAAACCAGTCACTGCAAGCCTAGAAACCAAGGGGGACACCCGAGTAAGTAAAGCAGGGGCCGAGCCCCCGCTCCCTGCCCTGCCTCTCAGACTGCCGTGGCTGAGGCCTGGCTGCATCAGGCTCTGACTCTCCTGTCTCTCGCTTCCCCCACAGAATGTGATGCTGGAGCTTTCTAAACGCAGCCGCAGTGGCAAATTCCGCCTGGTGACGAAGTTTAAGAAAGAGAAAAACAGCAAGAACAGAGAAGCTCGCAGTAGCCTGGGAGCCCCGGGTACCTGCCCTCCCGCTGTCCTTGTGGCTGTCCACGCCGGCTGTGGGGCCCTTGTGGTCTCTGCTTTCTCCCGTGGCCTCACGACTCTTCCCCGTGGTCCCTGACCACGACCCCTGTCACGGCCTGCGCCGTGGGGTCTGTCTTTGGCTAGGGAACTGCCCCTGTGCTTCTGGCCCTGCGTTGTCGCTCCTGCCCGGGGTCGCTCCCTGTGTGGACTCCGGTGACTGACACCACGCTGCCTGCCTGCCCTGGATTGGGGGTGCGAGGGGGGGAGGCGGACAGCAGAGGTGACAAGACACTCAGAGACACAGAGCTCACACTCCGGTCTTGTGCGGGGCTGCTGGTCCCCAGCGATGACTCGTGGCTTCCCCAGGCCACCAGCACTTGCCGCCGGGGAAGTCAATAAAAATGGCACTCGAGGACGTTTTTGGGGGGAGTCTGTAAACTGGGGCTCTGAGCATGGCTGTTTCCAGTGCTCTCAGGTGCCGGGCAGCTCCGGGTTTGGATTGGTGGGTAGCGGTCGCTCCCTCTGATTTTTCTTCTTCGCATGTTTGTCCAGCAGTTGGGTTTCTTTTAATGACGGTGGCTCTGACTACGTGAAATCTCTGCTTGTTTCCCTTCCTGCCGTGGACCAGAGGGACGTGAACCCTCTAGAGAGGACGGTGGCCTGGCTCTAGCGGCACAGTCACATTGGTGTTTCCCTCTTGTTTGGGGGTGTCCGGTCCCTCCTGGGACACAGGGGAAATGTCCAGGCTGATGGCCGACCTGGCAGGAACAGACCACAGCTCATTCCCCTGGAGAGCGGGTGGCTCCCTTCTGCTTTCTGCATGGTTCTGGGCGCCTGTGGCTGGGCGTCAGGTGCTGGCTGCTGGGTGCGCGTGTGGGGTCCCTGCTGCTGGGGCGTCTCGGGAGCCGGCTGCTGGGGCACGTTGGCGTCTGGGGTACCTGCTGCTGGGGCATGTGGGTGCTGGCTTCTGGGGCGTCTTGGGATGCCTGCTGCTGGGGTGTCTCAGGTGCCGGCTGCCACCTGCCTCGTGCTGGGCTCTGGGCATTCACTGCGTTCGTGCTTTTCCGTCTCTGACAGTTCACCTCTGGGGGACAGAGGAGGTTGCTGCCTGGCTGGAGCACCTCAGTCTCTGTGAGTATAAGGACATCTTCACGCGACACGACATCCGGGGCTCCGAGCTCCTGCACCTAGAGCGGAGGGACCTCAAGGTACTTCCACAGCGTCTCCTGGGAACCCGCCCTGGGCTTCCCTGTGCTCCCTTCTCTATCCCCTCCCTCTGACCCAGCCACGTCCCAACATCAGGGCTCTCCTCATGGTTTTGTGCACGGCTCAGGTGATGCATGGCGGTGGCTGCTGCCCCGGCAGTCATGTCACCACCTGCTGCAGCCAAACAAGACCAAAGCGGATGTGATGAGGGGAACCTTGCTTTTCTTAACCTAATTGGACAAATGAACTATTTTAACATTAAAAATCCTGTTGAGGGGGGTGCCTGGCTGGCTCAGTGGGTAGAGCGTGTGACTCTTGGTCTCAGGGTTGTGGGTTCAAGCCCCACATTGGGCATGGAGCCCACTTAAAAAAACTGTTGGGGGACACAGCTCTGTGCTAATGAGTCAGCCGAAGAGCTCCGTGTGACGTCGGCCCCCAGCACACGGGGGTCCCTCTCCCTTTGGAGCTGACACGCAGGCACCCCACAGAGATGCTGCAGGTTGCGTCCCAGACCCCTGCGAGGAAGCGAGTCTGAACTGTTGGATTTCCCAGTGCACACGAAAGTCACGGTTATAATACACTGCCGTCTATTAAGTGTGCAAAGCATAACATCTCAAAACTGTGCCTACCTTAACGAGAAAATACTAGATTGCTAAAAGCTGCTAACCGTCATCTGAGCTTTCAGTGAGTCCTGATCACTGGTCACAGATGACGGCAACAAATTTAATAGCAAAACTGTCTGAAATATTGCGGGAATCCCCAGTACGTGACACAGAGGCTTGAACGAACGCTGTTGGAGAACCGGCACTGACAGACTTGCTTGACGCAGGCCGCCAGGGCCCTGAGCGCGGGAGGCGCGGGGTGCGCGGGGTGCACGCGTGCAGTGCGCGCAGGAGGCAGGCTGCTCGCGGCCAGAGCTCGCTCGGGCCAGCCTGAGCCCGGGGCTCCCGGAGCCGCATCCAGAGAGGCCGAGGGCTCCCTGGCGACATCCTGGACAGCAGCTTCATCCAGTTAGTGCTTGCACCTGCCGCCGCCAGGCCAGCGTCCCGTGTCTGTCCTGCACGACGGCGGGGACGCTGTGCTCGCGGGGGAGGTGTGGCGGCGGCTGCACGACTGTTCACGCGTGTGCCATCTCCATCTGGTGTCACTGTCTTCATCTCCCCCCCACCCCCCCAACGCTGGTGTTCAGAAAGCCCGGCGTCAGGGCGCTGTCCTCTCGTTGCAGGACCTCGGCGTGACCAAGGTGGGCCACATGAAGAGGATCCTGTGTGGCATCAAAGAGCTGAGCCGGAGCTCTCCTGCCACCGAGGCCTAGCCCTGGCCCTGTCGGCCTGCGTTCCCCGTGCCCCCCGCGACTGAGGCCAGGCACAGCGCCTGCCCCTTCTCATGGTGCTACTCCCTTTGCTCCAGACAGGAAGCCTCGCAGACGCCCTTTCTGTGACTGCTCCGGGGTCTTGAACACACCAACACAGCTACCTTTGAAACGGCACCTTGTCCCGCCCGGCGTCGTGGGGGGCGGGCGGCCACCACCTCTCCGCTCTCGCTGACCTGCGCCCCGGGCTGGGCCTGACCTCCTGGGCCCCGGGCAGCCTGCGTTTGTCGAGCGGGTTCCTCGCTGCGAGCCCCGTGTTCGCGCACCGTGTGGCATCTTCCGGGCGCACAGACCCTGGCCCAGCCGGCAGCCTCCTGCCCAGGAGAGGTCTGTGCCCGCCATCCATCCTGGTTCTTGGCAGCAGCCCCGCGGGGCCCCCCACGGCTGTCGTCCCGTTTACTGACGATCGGTCACAGCGGCCCTGCCCCTCCTGGCTTGAGAGCAGCCCGGACGCGGCGCTAGGCCCATCCGTTTTCACTTGACCTGGAGAGGAGGCAAACCCGCTCCTCCTTAAGCCAAGTAACCGGGTGGCTGTGATCTCGGGCTGACACGTCCCCTGCCCGTTCGCCTTTGGTCCCTTGTCCCGGTTGGTACCCTCTCAAGCTGCTGATGTGGGACATCTGTCCCCGAGACGCCGTAGCCTCTCCTGTCTTTCCGCAGACAGAGGACGTGTTTGCATGAGCTCGCTGTTGAGGGGAGAGCGCGCTTCCTGGGCGCCGGGGAGACGCCCCTCCCCGTTCTGGGGGAGCCCAGGCTTGGTCCTGGGCCAGCGTCCCGACGGTCTCTGACCATGTGGACGGCTCTGTCTCGTGCCGCTCTGGCGCATGTCCCCAGCCCGCCTGGGCGGGGGAATGGCGTCCGGCTGCCAGCCAGGGCCCCGTGCCCCAAAGTGGCGGGCGGGGGGGGGAGCTGAGCATGAGCGTCCGCAGGCCGCGCCACCCGGCCCTCCCCGGAGCTCGTTCTGCCCCTTGTCTGTGCGAGGGGACTGGGCTGCCGGTGCCATCCGGTCACCCTTGGGGGTCCTTAGGGAGCTCACCGCTGAACAGCCTCTACTTGCCACTTGCTTTGCAGGTCCCTGTGTTTCCCCCCTTGCTGGTGTGCACGGTGGGCCTCTCCGTGAGCCCAGCCAGGCCCATGCCTCTGGTTTGGGGGTGCTCCTGCTGCTGGCCTTCTGGGTGCCTGGCCCGCTCCTGTCCTGAGGGTGGAGTGGCTGCACTGGGTTTGGGGTGAAGGGGCCCGTGCCCCACAGGGCCGCTGTGGGTGGCCTTCCCACACCGAGTTCTGGTGCCCGTTTGGGACATGGAAGGCAGAGAGGGATCATCATCACTGGCTTTCCAGGTAGAACAGGCTGAGGAAGGAGACAGTGGGGACCTGAGCCTGCGGTACCAGAACGGCGTGTGCGCTGTCCCCTCTGGCAGTGACCGGGGACAAGCATGCACGTGGTGAGGGGGGGTGGTGGCAGCAGCCGCTGGGGCTGAAGCTGCGGGGCCACCCTGGGCCCTCCTGGCCCTCTCTCGGGAAAGCCTGAGGGTTGGGTCAAGCATGGTGTTGAAAATTAATGTGTTGTCAGTGATGAAAACAACACTGTTTACGTAAAAACCATTTTTCTGATTCTAGTAAGTTAGAGGTGAATGGAGTAAAAGTGAGTGTCGCGTGGAAGTGCATCGCTGTGGGGCCAGCGCCGTGTCGCCCTCTGTCGGGCTGCCCCTCCGCCTGGCCCGACCCGTCCCCGCTGTGGCTGTGGGGGGAGGGGTCCTGGGGAGTCTTGGAGAAAAGGTTTTGTGCCCTCGGGTGGGGCTTACCCCTCATATTTATGATCTTAATTTATACAGTGCCCGCCGTGGAAGCAAATGTCTCTTGTATCGCTGTGTACATACCCGATCTGGGGGTGTAAATAGGCTGTTCTGTGTATAAATAAAATCTTCCATTGTCAGATTTCTAGTTGTCATTCCTTGTGCTTTGACATAAAATATTAGTTGCCCAAATCTTTCCAAACTGGAATCAGGATTATGGTTTTTACTCTAAAAATAAGGTGAGTTGGTGTGGCTAAAGAACAAAATGGAAAGCCATTGTGTTTCTTAGGGTGTGAGTTCTTGGGTCTGTTGAATTAAAAGCTCAGCGAGGAGGTAGGGCACTGGGTAGGGCTGAGGTTCAGACTCGGTCACATGCAGCCTGGACCAGCCTACTGAGGGCATGTGATGTAAGCAAATACTCTAATCCTCCTAAATCTTTTCTATAAAACTGCGGACCAGAAGCTCTCCGACCTCTCTGTTTAACTCATAATACCTTTATCCCAAGGGAGCAGCCTCTCCAAGCTCAAGGTCACTCTGTCATCTCCCAGTTCTCGGGGGTGAGGAATGGTGCCTGGGATCACAGAACTGAGAATGAGCTGATGGGGTACAGAAGGGCTGCATGGGCTTTGAATGCATTGGTTACCTCCAGCAGCTCGCTCTCCCTCCCTCCTTGCTCATCGGAGCCTCAGGTGTGGTGTACGCCCTCCTCCCATGTGGCTATCCAGGATCAGGCCTCATGGTTACAGGGTGGCTGCCACCACTCCAAGCATCACACCCAAATATGAGCCAAGTCCAGGGTAAGGTGTATGTGAGCAGGTGGTTGTCTCTTCTGTGTCTCTTTTTAACATAAAAGGAAGCAGTTCAGAAGCCCTGGCTTCTGCTGACCTCCCCTCGTGTCTCTGTCTAGAATTGCACACAAACCCACGTGAAAGGAATGGGGCCATGCTGCTGAGGACTAATCATGCATGATACTGGTGGCTAACACACTTAGGATATTTTATGCCAGATGCTGGCCCAAGTGCTTTGCCCATATTAACTCCTTTATTTCTCCTAAAAATCCTGCCTCTTACAGATGAGGAACGGGCTCAGAGAGGTTCCCAACTTGCACGTCACACAGCAGGTGGCAAAGGTGGGAGTCACGGGGCAGGTGGGTACCTGAGGTCATACCTCGAGTGCTGTCCTGTGTCCCAGGCCTGACACCAAGCTCAGCCCACATGACAGGTGAGAAGATCGCGTCCGAACTATCCCACACAGGCGTCCTGGCCCAGAAGCCTGGCTCTGGATGGTTCGCCAGGGGTGGTGTGGGGGCGCACCTGCACGTCTGGGCCCTGGGTCTGGGGAGGGCTGCTGCGGGCTCCGCTCGCTGCCCGACTCCACCCTGACGGGCCACAAAGTACACAGGGGGCTTCCAGGAGACCGTGTGGGCCAGGGGGGAGGCCAGAGGCCAGCCCAGAGGGGATGTGGGGGAGGGCTCAAGTGTAATGCGATTGCCAGGCTGGCCCAGACGGCGTGGGCAGGAAGGGGAGCAGCCTTTCTAAACCGATGCCGCTTGCTGTTAAGTCATCCTCCAGAGAACCCCAAGTGCCTTACGAGGTTTACCTTGATCTGGTCTAGTGACGAGAGTTGTCCCAAGTGAGGGAAGGCCAGGCTGCTTGACCAAAGTGTACTTTTTGTTCCCAGAACAGTCGAGGGCAGGTGTGTTTCAGCTCCTCGGGCTGTCACTCGGGGATCGGGCCGTCGTGGCCAAGGTGGCTCTGGCCGTCACCTTCCCGCTGGGGTGGGGTGGGGGGTGCGCATGAGGCTTCCCGAGCCCACCTGGACATAGGTGGTTGGAAATGCAAACACCTGGGGGCCCGCCCGCCCCCGGCCATGCCTGGCTGTTGTGTGAGAGCCGGGGGCTGCGCACGGACTCTGCTCATCACTAGCCGTCTGCCCTGGGGCCCCTCTGCTTTCAGGGCCCCTCGGGGGGAAGGTCCCTCAGTCACCGCACACCTCGCCCTGCATTCCTCCTCCAGGGGGTTCCAGGTATTTTGAAGGAGGGGGCGCGTATCCCTGAGGGCACAGGCAGGGTGTCCTCGAGCCTCAAGCTGTCAGCGGTGTTCCGCCTGCTGCCTGGGAGGCTCCCCTTGCGCCTGGAGGCTGACATCTGTGACCCAGGGACTGTCCTTGGCCCCAGGCAGCGTTCCTGGTGGTGCTCTCGGGTGGGGGGGGGTGGCCTCCATCTCCTGAACTCTGGCCTCTGCCGCGGGTCCTGAGGCGACTCTGCTGGCTTCCAGCTGAGCGTCTACACTGCTCGATGGCCAAGGGGGGGCTTGGGGAAATTCAGCCTGGGGGCAAGGGGGCTAGAGAGGAAACTGAGACACATCTGGACGCTGTCTCCTTCTCCTTCCCCCTCTCTTTGTCCCACAATCCTTTATGAAATGGGGAACTTTGGTTCTTGGTGTTTCTTCTTCTGACCCCAACTCAGTTTTTCTTTGCCTGCCAAGGGAGAGCCCTGGGAATGCAGCTGGTTGCGGACATGCTTGCAGAATGCAAGAAGGACTTAGATTTTTTCCTAAAGATACTATCTAGGCTTGCATGACTTTTTTTAAAAAGCGTGAGTGAGGGGGGTGGGGGGAGTGGGGGCAGAGAGAGAGGAAGAGAGAACCTCAAGCAGGCTTCATGCCCAGCGCAGAGCCCGATGCAGGGCTCGATCTCATGACCCTGAGCCAAAATCAAGAGTCAGACGCTTAACCAGATAAGCCACCCAGGCGCCCATAGACTTGCAGGACTTTTAACTTGTACTGGTCCTGTGTTTAACGTTTTAATGTTTTGTTCACAATTGTGGATTTTTCTGCATTAATTTTGATTTCTAAAAATGCTGTTATTAGAAACTGATCTGTCTTGACTACTGAGTTTTTTGAGCACCTTCAAATTTTGTGCCCAAGGCCCCCACTTCCTGGAGTCCTGGCCCACTGTTGCATAATCTAGTTGTGAATATTGGAAGCTCAGACTCTGCAGTTGTGGAAGCCACTGCTTGATGCCTATAAACATCAGTTTTCTATCTCCTGCACCACTAACAGATGCCCACATCATCTGGGTCATGCAGTGTGCCCAAATATGCCCCTGCGAATGTGACAACATTCTCCAGTCTCCTCTGTAGTCATACCTCCTCTGAGGTCACTTAGTGATGTGACCAAGTCATGGACAAAGAAATCTAAGTATTGAGATTCCCAGAAAGTTTCCTTTAAAACATGGAGATGCCTTTCTTTTTCCTCTTGCTGCTAGCCTGGAGGGTAGACATGATGGGTGGTGCTCCAGCAGCCAGCCTGGGCCATGGGAGGGCGGTGAGCATGGAAACACGTGTTGAGGGTGGCAGCGACAGAAGCCCGGTCTCCATGAAGTTCCAGGCCCCCTCCCTGCTCCCGCTCACCACCCTTCTTTTCTGTGAGTGAGAGCTACATGTGTATTGTTTTGTCTCTGAGTTAAACCTAATCCCTGCAGCAGTACTTCCACAAAGATCTTGTACTTGGGAAGGCCAGAGTGAAAGCATGCGGAGACACTGGTTATATCTATTACACAGGTGTGAGGCCAAAGAAGGGGCCAGGACCCTACGGGGATGGGTGAACCTGTGCAAAGAAAACTTCGGGGCAGACGGTGCACACGTGGGGCAGGTGTTTGTGGTGCGCGGAGGCCTCCCTGAAGCTGTGGTCTGAGAGCACCAGCGTGGGCCTGGCCGGAGGAGCCGCTCACACCGGGGCGGGGGGGGGGGCAGCTCGGAGGCCACCGGCTCAGCCCGAGGTCCTGACCTTAGAACGTGCATCTGTGTGGAGCGGGAGGTAGGGCACAGCCCATTCACGGTTTTCATCCCAAAAGCAAACCAGGTTTGCAAAACACGAAGAGAGCCAGCGGGCTGGGAGTTAAAGGCTTTGTCACTCATGCTGCTGATGGAAACAGATCAACCATGAGCTTCCTGAGCACTCCCAGAAATCGTGTCGCCAAATCCCACACTGGTCACTCAGCCCCTAGGGTCATCCATCCCAGGCCTCCAGGACGTGCACACTCAGGAAGACAGAGTCCAAGGGGTGCTACCCCAAAGGGGAGTCCTCTCAACGCCCACGCCGGGACACTGGACATCGAGATCCTCTGGAGGGCGGCAGGGCGACCTGAGGGGTAAGCAAGGGTTTGCCTCTGGGGCAGGACCGGGAGCTCGGAGATCGCGGTCTGGCTGCGCGGGTCCTGACTGCGGCACTTGGGCGCTCGTTCTCCAGAAGAGGTTGTGTTGCGGTCCTCCTCATGCCCTGTGTACACTGGTTCCGAGTCCGATTTACCCTTGCCTTTCAGGCGCTGGTTGCTGACCTGTGAGGACAGACGTCCGCTGGACCTGACCCAGAGCAGTGTGGCCCGGAGACCTCAGACCTGAGCTGGGGACACGAGTGTGGTCGGGCTGTAGGTAGAACAGCTGCTAGAATTAACGGTGGGTGCTGTCTTCTTTGAAACATCCGAATGGGAGGAGCCCGGCGGGGGCCGGGCAGCCAGGGTGCAGGACCTGGGGCCACCGTGCTCCCTCCGGGCGACCCCCCGCCGCCCCCCTCCCAGCTCTGGTGCATGGGGCCCGTGGGCGACAGCCCCCCGTGGGCCTGAGTTCAGCTCTGCTTGTGGGCGCTTGAGTGGCCCGAGCTGAGTTTAGGCACCCGGAAGTGAAAGGTCCTGGCCATTACACTCTGCAGCGAGTGACACGGGGCAACCGTGGCGAGTGGCTGCCCCCGCAGGGGTGCGGGGGGGGGACGACAGAGGGCAGTGGGGCCACCGCAGGGGGCCACAAGCCTCTCTTCCTCTTTGTAGGGCTCTCCTTGCTTCACGGCGCCCCGGGAGGTGAGCAAACACACCCACAGTGAATCTGGGGTTTCTTTTACTGGCCGGGCTTTGGACGGGTGGGTGGCGGAGCGCAGACCGAGGAGTGGGGCACGCAGGGCCAGGGGCGTCAGCTGTGGTCCTTCACAGCTCAGTGCCTTCCAGAGAGAAACGGGCATCTGCGGAGCCATGGTTTTTGATCATCAGGAAATTCTTGTGCTCCCCCCCTTTTTTTGCCAGAAAAATGTCCTAGTGGAAAAAAGGTTTTCTGTAATGAACTACCCTTGCCACTACTCTTTCCCTAGAAGGAAGGAAGAGAAAGCCAGATCACTTCCAATTTCTTCTGCGGCAGTTTCCTCGAGTCTGAATTTATTTGAACCCAAACATACTTCTGTTATTTCTGAAGCAGCGCCGATACGGTATTTCTAAAGAATAAACGTTTATTTAGCATCTGAAGTGCACTTGGGGGGGAAAAAGCCAAGGAGAACATGAAACAGTTGGTGCAGCAATGGGGAGCCCACGACCCGAGGAACAGTTTAACCAACTCTCACAGCTGCCCCCGGAGCCCCCCTCCGTGCCCACTGCACAGGAGGGACGGAAGGGGGCAGGCCGCCGTGCACGGCGCGCCCGAGGCTCCCTGCGGGGCCCGTGAAGGCACGTCCTCCGGTGAGTACTTTACTATGGGGTCACCGTAAGACGAAGGCGCAGACCAAGGAGCTTAGGTCAGAGTGAAAGGACCGGGCGGCTTGCACCCCGAGCGCCCCGCTTCCAGCCACAGCCCCTGGCGTCTGGCCCTGCGGCCGCGTCGCTTCAGCCCCACGTGCCACCACGTGCCACCGCGCACCTGCAGCAGCCGTGGTGTGGCCGGGACACCGGTCCACGGCTGTCCTGCCGGCTCTCGTGGCCTGCGCGGCTCCGAAGTCTCACCTGAGGCAGGAGAGCGAGGAGCTCCCCCCCCCCCCCGCCCCACGGGGAGCCCTGCTTGCGGCCCTCCCCCAGCATCCTCGTGGCCGGCTCAGGACCAGGTGCGGGCCGAGCTTCAGGGGGCGAAACACCGGCTGGTTTACGTTCTGTCTTCGGCGCGGAGGCGACTCAGCCCACGCCGGCTCGTCCGCCACCACCGGGCCTCCAGGCACTGAGAACGTTCCGCCGCCTGCGTAGCTGCAGCTGAGGACCCGTCGAGCCGTGGGTCTCCCTCCTTTAGCCGGAAAGACGGCGGCGGCTTCCGAATCCGTTTTCACTCAGACCGCAGGGGGCTGCCGTGGGGGCCAGAAAACAGCCCGCCCGCCGAGGGCAGAGCCTGGGCCGGGCCAGCGCCCCGCTGGGGGCCGAGCTGTCGGAGCCGCCGTCAGCTCAGGGCCCCCAGGCCTCCCGTGAACAGAGTAAGGCAGGGAAGGCGCGACGGTGGGCTTCACACGGCAGACGTGTCCGGGCTCAGCACCGTGACATTTTATCCACGCCCGCGGTGACTGCAAAACTAGGGAGTTGTTTGCTCCTACGAACGGGGCTGTGCTTGGGGTGATGACGGGAGGGCAGCACGAGACTGGCCGCTGGAGGCCACCACGGGTCGGGGCCAGCCCCGTGACAACGCGCCCTTGGCTGGCCTGAGGCGGGAAGGCCTCTGCTGGTGACGAAGGGCAGGACTCGGAGTTCATGTCTGCAGAAGGCAGAAAACCGCGCCTGCCCGCACGCCCCCCATGCTATCTGAAACTCCCCACGTGGATGGAGAGAGAAGCTTCTGGTGCATGGGGCCGGCTGGGCGTCTTGGCCCTGGAGAAAAAGTCACTGCTCTGCACACGAAGGGCTTCCCGGCTGTGGGAGACACAAGAGGGGGTCACTGACTCGGCCCTGGACACTGCAGGCCTCACCAGGTCGAGGGCTTTGGAAGGACTCCCGTCAAGTTAGGACAGGCCACAGGGATGTGTGTTTGCACCTGCTGGGTATTTCCAGACTGTTCACTCGGAAGACCTCAATTTACACCCCGCCCCCACCACCCCAAACCAGGAGAGTGGGTTCCTGCACCTCTCCACGCAGCGGGTCAGACTTGGGGTCCTTTCCAATCTGCTAGGTGAAAAGGTCTCACAGCAGAGTATACCTTTACCTCTTATTTTTTTTTTGAGAGACAGTGAGAGGGGGACAGAGGGAGAATCTCCAGCAGGCTCCCCGCTGAGCGCAGAGCCCAACGTGGGGCTCGATCCCACGACCCTGAGATCAGGACCTGCGCCAAAGCCGAGAGTTGGACGCTTAACCGACTGAGCCACCCAGGCGCCACGGACCTTTTGAATCCAAACAGAACGCTCACAGACACACGTGAAGCATCCAGCCCCGTGACTGGCTACGGCTGTGCTCTCCGAGTGACACGCCTTCCCCCTCGGACCGCCCGCTCTTCCTCGTACCCTCTCCTGGGGCCCCACTGGACCGAGGCAGCGGAGGGGCAAGGAGGGGCTACCGCAGTAACTCAGGGAAGAAGACCACCCTTCCCCCCCACCAGAAGCTGACTGAGGACTAAGATTTCAGGAGACTGGAGGCGGGGAGCAGGTAAGGAGGACAGGGGCACCCCTGGTGTGGCCTGCGGCGGGGGATACGTGGATACAGGGGTGAGAGCCAGGTCCAGGTGGATGTGGCCTGCAGCCAGGGGAGAGGGCTGGGCTATGTGCCGAAGAGGAAGGAGGGAGTGCCTGCAGGCGGAGTGAGGAGGGAGCCGAAGGAGGGGCCGGGGGCTGGGAGTGGGGTCCGCGTGCTGGGCAGGGCGTGCCTGCGGAGGACCCCCGGCTGGACGGAGGGGGGTGGGCGGCCGGGGCACGAGTGGTCGTGGGAGCTCATTCATTCAGGCAACGAACAGCGGAGGGCACCGGTGTCCGAAGACGACCCAGCAGGTGGCGAGGGGCTGAGAGGGCGGGAAGGAAGCTCCTGAGACTGGGGCGGGGGGGGGGGCGGTTCCTCAGTGAGCGGTCACCCCGTGTTCTGTCCAGGTTCCCAGAAAGCCCAGTGAGGGGGTGACCGAATCCCCCCACGCTGCACTTCTTTCCCGCGTGTCTGGAAAGCAGTGCTCTGAGCCGCGATCAAGGGCGCTCCGGCGGGGAGAGCCAGTGTCCGGGGGCTTCCAGAAGCAGCCGCGTGCGTGAGAGCCAGGAACGTACCTTTTCTTTCCCAGGTCATCTGCGACTGTACTGAAATCTTCGTCATCCTCAACCAGGAGATTCTACGTTTCAAAACAACAAATGAACAATGTTTTCAGACATCCTTTCGGTCTACATTTAAGATGTACGTAAAAAAGACCTCAACCTCAAGCTGTCCGAATTTACCTAAACCACCGACACCAATCAGCCCAGTGCTGGGCATGTGCTCAGCAGGGGGCACGAAGAGCCGGCACCGGAATGTTCTGCCAGCCCTTGGATCTCTGCCTCTGGCCACCAAGGCCGCATGGAGAGCCGGCACGGGGACACCCCCAGTGGAGCACTGTCACCGTGTCCACAGCTACCCCGTGAGCCCGGGCTGCTAACCCCCTGGCCTCCCCTGCTGTCACCACGGGACTTTCCAAATACAGGCCGCCCCCCATGGTCTCCTGAGGGGCTCGTAGTCGGTTTCACACACGGATGTCATTCCCCATCAACACGGGCCGCCCCCAGGCCTGCCTCAGCCAGCGGCACCCCCGAGCAGCGCTCTAGGAAGGACTCAGGCTGGCCGCCCCCGTGTGTTTAGGCTTCCTGGCTACTCATCGCCTCCCTCGTGTGCATCTGGGAGAGGTGACCAGCTCCCGCGGAGCCGCGGGAGGGTCTTGCTGCGTCCACACGTAGCTCCCAGGGGAGAAAAACGTAACCAATGTACGGACCTCCGTTCCCATCAGTGGTGCGCGTGCATTTGTATTCCGGCAGCTGTGTGCTGTGCTTCCTAAAAACCGTCAAACGCTACACAGTAAGAACGTAGAGGTAACGGGACAGACACCCAGGTTGTCAGAGCGGCGCAGGCGTGGGGCCCGGGGGTCCAGGCGCACCAGTACGTCACCTCCTCATCCCAAGACGGCACCTACTCCCACTGTTGTCCTGGGAGTTCGGTGGATACACGCGAATGTATGTGGATGGTGCTCCATACAGAAAATAAACGCTCCGTGAAAGTTAGCTATTAACAGTATGAAGCTTTTGACCCTAGTTGCTTCATTTTTCAAGGACAACCCACAGATTCAGCCGCTGGCCTCCCGCCATTCCCCAGGGATGAGCACTCTTGTTCCCGTCCTCCCCTGGACTTGACGACCACCCGGGAGTGTGACCCTCCGTGACCCTCAGCATTTTACAGGGCTTTACGTTCGCTGTGAAGGACGCCTCTGTGACTGTTTGCAACATTCAATGATGCGCTCCACGCTCACACACGTAGCTCCAGCGTATTGATTGTAACTGCCCCCTTCCCGAGGGTCACTGTTCCTTCCAGTTGATGCCGTCACGGCCAGTGCTTCAGAGAACCCCCTGCACACCCCCTCCCCCGCATGTGCGCGCCGTGCCGTGGCGTACCCTGCGGTTTCATGGAGACGGGTAACACCGCTGCCGGGCTATCCGTAGTCTCCTGCATAGAGAACGGCTTTATGCTTTCCTTTGAGAATCTCCTCTATTTCTCAGTGTTTGTTTAGTTTTCTTTGGGGGGCGGAGGCTCACGCCACCGTGTTTAGCACAGTGCTGAATGAAGTGATGGTTAAGGGAATGCTTATTCCTTGGTGTGAAAATACCTATTAGCAATTTAATCCTTAAATCAAGGATTAAATTTATTAATTCTTAATACACAAATATCACTGTGTGACAAAGTAGGTTTGTCCATGGCAGGCAAGGACGGCCCTGTCACCTTATGTAACAGACACCACACTAAAGATGGACAGTCAGTCAGAGAGCTAATCCAACAGGTGCAGAAACAGCGGGAATTTTATATGACAAGAGCTCACTCAGGATTGGAAAAAAAAAAAAAAAGAACTTACGAGCAAACTAGGCAGGGAAGGAAATGTCTTACCCTGATGCAAGGACCTACCCCAAACCTACAGCAATGCACTTCGGGATAAAACTCTAAAAGCATTTTCATGCAAGTCCAACCCAAGATTAAGGTTTTGATACTGAGGTTCTACTGGCCTCATGAAATGAGTGGTCTGGCTTTCCCTCTTGTTTTCCGTTCTCTGAAACAATGTATGGAAGACAGGATTATCTGAGTCTTGAAGATTTGATACAACTTCTCTGTAAAGTCACTGATCCTGGTGTTTTACTGAAGTGGTAAATTTGCTGTTAAATAACTTACCTTAATACCAATTGTGTCTCCGTCCTTCAGGTAATAAGGTGCCCCCTGCAAATTATCTTGCTTTTTCTTCTTTTTTCTCTTGGTAAGTTGCTGGTTCTATAGAAAAATCAAGCATCTTGAATAAAGAAAACTCACATTCTTACTAAGTTCTCTATGTGTGAAAAATGGCCCTTAACCCATTCACTACGCCAGGAAGGCCCAGTGTCCCGGAGAAAGCGTGCAACTTTACCCAGCTCGATATCGGAAGCCACTCAAACTTTTCGGGGAAGTACTTGGCAATTTCAATTTTCTCCACGGGAAGGGAGCAGAAGTGGGCTACTTGCTGCCTCAGGGAGCCAGCCGTCCAGCCTCGGGCCGTGTCCCACACCAGGTCCACACACGGGGCGTAGGCCCTCTCGCCGGGGAGGCGCATCTGCGTCCTCAGCACCACGTCCTGGGGGCTGCGCCGGGAAACAGACAGAGTAAGTTCGCAGTAACCATGGGGGAACGTGATGGGCAAAGCTTCTCCTCGACTCTTCTGGTTTTTCGAAGGACAGATTTGTCCGCAAACCCGCTAAACCTCTTCTCTACTTTGCTTTCCTTCTGCCCTGACCCGCAGCTGCGCCCCAGGAGAGGCTGCTTTCAGAACCAAAAGCTCCGTTAGCTGCGGTGGGGTGGCCAGGGAGAAGCAAGCAAGGGCTCAGCGCTGGAAGGGGGGGCTCGGCATAACGTCAGATGTATGGAGCCAGTTACGGGACAGGAGGCGCTGGCCGGAAGGTGGCGAGGGAGAAGGGAAAGTGTGTATGTGCGTCTAGGCTGCTGAGACCGTGTGCAGTTTTACATGCTGGGTTTCAGTTATCGGTTACAGGGGTGCTTTTACCAAAAAAGAAAGGGTGACACCGATGGGAGAAAAGGAACCACTGGAGGCAACGGTCCCAGGGAGAGAGCAGGCCTGGCTGGGCAGGAGCAGCAGAGGTCTCCCCAGGTGGGGAGAACGTTCCGGAGGTGGGGCAAGGACACAGAGCCGCTGGGGGGTGCCAAACAACTGCCCTGCCCGGTCTTCAAAGGGACACCACTTACAAGAACGTGACAAAGGGTCAATGTCATTGTTTCAGAAAGCTCTCACAAATTCGACTTTTCTGAGACCCCTTTACAAAAAATGCAAATGGCTTATAAATGATAAGCCTTTCAGAAAAATGCCCGCTCTTCTAGCAATCAAAGCACTGAAGCAAATGAGACAAGATAACCATTTCCTCACTGATCAATTTAGCAAACAATTAAACAATGAAAATATTCAGTGTTGGTTTGAGGGTGAAGTAATACTCAGGAACACTGCTTGTGCGAACATAAACTGGAATAATTTACCTGGAAAGGAACTGAACAGTTTTAAGAAGTTTAAAATGTCCATACCAGTTTGATCCAGAAATCCCCCTCCAGGAAACAATTCCTGGTAATACAGTTTCCTGTGAGAATGCACTTTTATAAAAGCAGTGGGGTTAAGTGAAGGTTAGACATGGCTGAAGGGGAGCTCCTGCTTCCCACACAGCAGCAAGAATGGTATTTCTGTCACATCAGGTAGGGGCAAGCTTACTGTTTGCTGATGCTGACAGAAGGTCTTATACAAGATTTTCTTATAATGAAAAAAGAAATAGGAAGGTTTGACTACGACACAGGTACTGGGGATAGAGCAGTGACCACAAAACTTACATCCCAGTAGTGGGAGATAAGTCACACACGGCTCTCTCGTACGTCAGGTGGTGTGAAGATGAAGTAGGGTAAGGGGGCGGTGACAGGTGCTGACAACAGACTGTCTTGGGGCACGGATAAGGGCTGGGAAGGAGCATCTTGCTTACACTTTGAGATTATTATGGATTTGATATGCATTTGTGACTCACGGTTTTCATGGAAAGATGAGCTCCAACTTCCAGATGCCAGACGCACAAACGCATTTGTAGAACACAGTCTGGTTTAAGTTGCCGTGCGACTCAGGCAGTGGGAACAAACCCTTTACTACTGAGCACACTGTTAAGTTTTTCAAGAAACTACCCACCATGATAAGACAAGGACACAGAAGCAGATGACTTACCCCAAATTTTCTTCTTTCTGAAGGGGCTCTAAGCAGATCTCAGTTTTCCTTCCCAGTCTGTATTCCCTGATGAAAGAAATGAAACAAAATAATACTGAGGGATACATTTTTTAGATTTTTTGGGAAAAATACTTTCTTTTTTTTTTTTTTAAAGATTTTATTTATTTATTTGAGAGAGAGAATGAGAGAGAGAGAGAGAGCACATGAGGGGGGGAGGGTCAGAGGGAGAAGCAGACTCCCTGCTGAGCAGGGAGCCCGATGCAGGACTCGATCCCAGGACTCCAGGATCATGACCTGAGCTGAAGGCAGTCGCTTAACCAACTGAGCCACCCAGGCGCCCCTAAGCTTTCTTTCTTAAGCAAAAAATTATAGTGAGTAAGAACACTCAAAATCTGAGAGACTACTATGAACAAGTAGATGCTGACAAGCTGGGTGAAATGGATCTTGGAACGCACTAAGTCATAAATAGAAAATCTGAACAGACTAATTACTAGTAAGGGAACTGAGTAAGTAATGAAATACCTTCCAACAAAGAGAAGTCCAGGACCAGATGGTTTCACTGGTGAATTCTAACAAACATTTCAAGAATTAATACCAATCCTTCCCCAGCTCTTCCAGAAAACAGAAGAGCCATCACAAGGCCAGGGTTATCCTGATACCAAAACCAGACAAGGGTACTACAAGAAAAGTTACAGACCAGTAGCCCTGCTGAGTACAGATGCAAAAACACTCAACAAAATATTTGCAAACCAAATCCAACTCCTACATCACGATCAAGTAGGATTTATTCCAGGGACTCAAGGGTGGTTCAATGTCTGCAAATCAATCACTGTGATACAGTAACAAGGTGAAGGATAAAAAAAAAAAGTCAAATCATCATCTCAACAGATGAAGGAAAAGCATTTGACGAAATTCTACATCCTCTCATGACAACTACACTCAACAAACCGGGGAGAGAAGAAACCTAACTGGACACAATAAAGGCCAGACACGAGAAGCCGGCAGCTAATCCACTGGGCACTGCAAGTCTGCATGCCTGTCCCCACCGCAGGGAGAAGGCAAGGATGCCCGCTCTCGCCACTCTTAACGCGCTACTGACGTCCTACCCAGAGCAATTCGACAAGGAAAAGAAATAAAAGGCATCAAATTATAGAGGACAAAGTAAAACTGCCTCTACTTACAGATGACATGATATTCCGTGTAGAAAACCCTAAACACCAAAGAACTAAATAAATTCAGTAAAGTTGCAGGATACAAAATCAAGATACAAAAATCACTTAGTATTTTATACACTAACAGTGAACTATGAGGAAGACAAATTAAGAAAACAGTCCCATTTACAAGCACATCAAAAAGAATAAAATATGCAGAAATAAATTTAACCCAGGAGGTGAAAGATCTATATGCTGTAAGACACTGATGAAAGAAACTGAAGACACAAAGAAATGGAAAGATAGTCCATGTTCATGAATTGGAATATTATTAAAATGTCCACATTACCCAGAGTGATCTCCAGATTCAGTGTGATCTTTATCAAAATTTCAATGACATTTTTCACTGAAATAGGAAACCAATCCTATTGTATTGGTTTGTATGGAACCACAAAAGATCCCAAAGAGCCAAAGCAATCTTGAGAAAGTAGAACAAAGCTGGAGGCATCACTCTTCTTGATTTTAGACTACAGTAATCAACACAGTATGGTATTGGCATAAAAGTAGACACAAAGATCAATGAAAAGAACAGAGAGCTCAAAAATAAACCCATGCACATATGGCCGATGAATTTACAACAAAGGAGCCAAGAGCACACAACGGGGAACAGACAGTCTCAGTCTCTTCAGTAGATGGTGCTGGAAAACTGGTCAGCCACATGCGACAGAACGAAGCTGGACTGCTAGTTTACGCCATACCCAAAAATCAACTCAAATGGATTAGACTGGACTGTAAGGCCCCAAACCAGGAAACTTCTAGAAGAAAACACAGGAGGTAAGCTCCCTAACACTGGCCCTGGCAATGATTTTTTGGAGTTGATACCAAACGGAAAGACAAGAAAAGGAAAAATAAGCAAATGGGACTGCACCAAATTAAAAAGCTTTTGCACAGCAAAGGAAACCAGCAACAAAATGAAAAGCAGCCTATGAGATGGGTGAAGAAATCTGCAAATCATGAGAGAGAGGATTAATAAAGAACCCATGCAGCTCAAGAGCAAAAAAACCCCAAACAGTACCATTAAAAAGTGGGCAGAGGAACTGACATTTTTCCACAGAAGATCTACAGATGGCCCCCAGGTACATGACCGTCACTCATCATCAAAGAAGTGCAAATCACAAGCACAGTGAGAGACCTCCTCCCCCTTGTCAGAATGCTTAGCACCAAAAAGATGAGATCAATGTTGGCAGGGACATGGAGGAAAGGGGAACCCTTGTGCACTGCTGGTAGGAATGTGAATTGGTGAAGCCAATTTTCTGGAGGTTCCTCAAAAATTTAAAAAATAGAACTACCCATATGACGTAGCACTTCTGGGTTTGTATCTGAAGGAAATGAAAACAGAATTTCAAAAGAGCTATCTGCGCTACCCATGTTCACAGCAGCACTGTTCACAACAGCCAAGACACGGAAACAACCCAAGCGTCCGTCGATGGATGGATGGATGGATGGACGGATGGATGGACGGACGGACAGGGAGGTGGGGGAGTATCATTCAGCCATGAGAAAGGGGGACATCCTGTCATTTGTGACAACGTGGATGACCTTGAGGGCATTAGGCTAATAGTGAAGTAAGTGTAACAGAGAAGGACCAATCCTGTATGGTCTCACATACATGTGGAATCTAAAAAGGCCAAACTCAAAGAAACAGAGAGTACATGGTGGTTTCTAGGGGCTGCGAGGTGGGGGAAAGGAGACGTTGGTCAGAGAGGCCAAACTTCCAGTTACAAGAGAAATAAGTAAGTTCGGAGCCTCTAACGTCCAGCATAGTGCTTATAGTTAACAATACTGTGATAGATTGGAAAGTTGTTTAGAGAGTCGATCTTGAATGTTCTTACCGCAGCAAAGAAATGGTAATTATGTGATGCGATGCAGGGGTTGGCTAGCACCACGGTGGCAATCATTTTAAAAATACGCAGCGCTGTACATCAATTATATCCCAGTAAAGCTCGAAAAACTCAACATTTTCTTCATGGTATCTGAAGCATAGTAGAACTACACGGAGCTACATTTATGCTTAATATGGAAAATTAAAGCCCCAGAGTGTGTGACTGAAAGAGTCATCCAGCTGACAGCAGGCTGCCCGACTCCCCCCGGCCCGGGCCCTCCCATCGGAGGAAAGACTGCGCTTCCGGTGAGGAACCTACTTGAGCTGTTGCCGGTTGGTTCGTAAGAGCCTGCCGGGGCGCTGGCTCTCCACAGTCCAGGCTCTGAGGAAGGCTGGGGACGGGATGACAAACTCCAAGGAGGGGGACAAGGTCATGGCCTAGAAAGGAAACAAGACATTTCTCCAATGGTTTAAGAAGCGCTCTGAACAAACACACTGCTTTAGGAAGACACGAAGCACTACACAGTGACGTCAGAGGGAGGAGAGCCTCGAGGAATGATAAACTCTATTAAAAAAACATCCCAGGGGTGTCTCTTAAATGAAATCCATCCAGTCACTTCTGTCTTCCTCTCTGGGGAAGCCAGCTTGAGGGATAAATGGATTTTCCAATGAGCCAAAAGCTCCTTTTAAATCCTATTTCAGAAAGTGAAACTTAGAAATTAATTTCTACGTGAGTATAACTCACAAGAGCTCTAACAAAAGCCGGGGGTTCACCTTCCGCTTTCTTTAGTGCTAGTATAGTTCTTCAAAGTTGGCTCTGTCAGTGAAAGAACTTCAATTTGAAATGTTCCAGAATCTCTGGACGCGACTGCTACGTCTAAACTTCCGTACTCGTTGTGCAGGGCAGATAGCTATTTATAGATTTAGGTTGTAACATATAAAACGGCCAGTATTCATTTTTTATCTGAAAACGGCAATTTTGTATTTCTCAATCCAATACAAGAAAAAAATTTTTTTTACTGCCATTGTCTCATGGCAATAAGACCATTTGCTTCTTTCGAGGAAGGTTATTTCAAACGCTGCGCACACACAGGAAAATCCAGTACGGACGGCTGATACTCGCGCTGTGCGCCCCCAACAGGCATCGTGTGTCACACGCAGCTCAGCCTTTCCATGGGGACCTAACACTCTCGCTAGGGATGTGAATAGGTAAGAACAGGATACAGTATCTTGTTACACGTCCTACGGACACATCTTTAAACTGACAACATTTAACACATGGATCACAATGATACAAAAACAATGTAAATAAAGGGGTAAAGTGAATGCTTTACGGATGTGTCAATACATCATGTTTCCCTTAGAAATCAAAAGGAACATAAGCTGCAAGTCCCCGAGGAGAAATTCAGATGAAAGCGCACAGCATGCCCGTCCGAGTGGGGACACAGGACAGCCACAGGACAAGTGGCAGAAACAAGCACCGGGGCTGTGTGAGCCGAAGGCGGGCGTGCCTGCCGGGTACTTACCACTGAACGTGGCACAGAACACATGCCCTATCAGAACAGACTGCAAGTGAGGGAAAAGGAGATAGAAGAAGGTGTTATTAATATCTCACTGGAAGAGGCCGGGCCACCACTACCGTGCGCCACAGGAGAAAGCCTGACCTGGGACTTCAGCTCCGCCACGGTGGCATCTTCGGAGATCTCGAGGTCCCCCAAGTAGCGGAGGGAAACCTCCCCGTGCAGGTCACCAGGAGCGCCTACCGAGGACAGAGGCAGGTGTCAGAAAGGAGCGTGGACTGTATTTACTTCCTATTTCTGAAACACCATGTTTTGGGGTTGTAGCTTTAGCGCAGCCCCATTCAAGAAACTGGGGGTCTATCCTGTTCTCCTGTTCGTCTCTCCAGCGCTTGGGACGGTGGCTGCCCCCCAGTAAATGGCCAATAAATGTTTACTGACTATAAGAACATTGACAATAAGAAAGACTTTCTACATTTATTTTTAAAAGGTGAAAACAAAATGTTCTCTTATCTAAAATTCTAGATATAAAAATTGGTAATTAAATTTAAAATTCAGAATAACTTCACTCATTTTTGCTCTGCTGATTGCTAGGCACACTGCTAATACGTAACTAAGAAATTAGATTAAGTAGATCAAGTGAAAAAGCTCTCTTCCATGAGCTGGCACCACCTGGAAGATACTTTTAGGAAACTCAGGAATGAAAGACTATTTCCCAGATGTTGTGATATAGAAGGACTATCAAAAAATGAATTGTTTACTTTCATGGAGAAAGACATTGCTTTTTAAGTTTATATGCAATTCTATATGTAATTATTATTCTACCACCAAAGTATTTTTAGAATTAGTGCCTGTCTAATGTAACCCAAACAAACAAACTTAATGCCAATTTCATAGGTAATTCAATACGAAGTATTTTATTGCTCTACACAGATAACCCTAGCTTGACAGTAAGGGGATAAAAATGTGACTCACTTATGTTAATTTCAGTACTGAGGTTTAAAAGGTAAAAAGAAGTATTAAGTGTGTATTACTTCAAGGCACTAAAAAGGCTAAATAATTAAGTAAAACATAATAAACAAAACAATATATAAAGTTGGTCCTACCATAAATATATTCTCTTTATTTAGTTAGGAAGGAAATTAATTTGTTTTTTCCTTTTTTTTTTTTAAAGATTTTATTTATTTATTTGACAGAGAGAGAGAGAGCACAAGCAGGGGGAGCGGCAGGGAGAAGCATTCTATGGAATTAATAGGTTTTGATTTTTCAGCCTTACATTTAAGACACAACCTTCATCGGCATATCGGAGCGGAAGCAGCCATTCTACTCTTCCTTATGACATGCGGGCTGCTACAATTCTGTTCTCACCTTGGATGGAAGCAGCCCTCCAGACCCCACCTGGAGAAGGGGTACCGTTCCTCTGGTCCGGATGACTCTTCCAGTGACCCGCGGGCCCCCGAGGCTGGTACCACCAGACGGGCACCTTCAGGAAACCCTGAAGAATGGAGCATTTCTAGCTGTTGTGAGGTACGCGAATTAACTGAATTTCTACTTTCACAGAGAGAGAAATATCTTGATAACAGCAAATGTTCCTGAATTTATTATTTCTTTTAGATGTATTAACTGCCATGTACTGTACCTGCTTATTGTTTTTACAATAAAAAATTTAAGGTCATAAAAATTAGTCTTTGGGATGCCTGGGACTCAGGGCTCTTTGCTTAGAAGCACCTTCGTAAACATAGTACTTATAGTATCTTACTACAGTCAATGAGAAGGCTACACAAAATATCAAAACACTGGACAGAACAAACTATACAAATAATTTCGGGCCTGGTAAAGGGGCACCACCAGCCGAGTGCTCCAGTCAGCAGCGGTTTTCACTCATTAAAATTCCTACAGGAACTTTTATAAAGAAGCAAGAACCTATTGCTCTAAGTTGGATTCTTGCATAGAAACTACATGAAATAAACCTGACCTACTAGCCCCCACACACAAAACCATAAGTGCACACTGTTTATGGCAGCAAAAACCACGGACCAACCTCAAGGTCCCTCTTTAGAAGACTAGTTACGTTACGGGAGGCCAGGACTTCTGACGAAGTGGTTTCAGTTCTAGAACTTATCCTATAGATATATACATGCCAAATGGCATATAGATGAAATTTTTGGCAGTGTGATTTGTATCAACAAAAGACTGGAAACCACCTAAATCCTTGAAGAGACTGGCTGAAAAAATTATGGTACCTCCATACAATGGAATATTCCACAGCCACCCAATAGAATGAAATAGCTGTGTGTGTACCAACACAACATACATATGGAGATAAAATATTAATGAAAAAGGTGAGGTACAGAGTAGGGTGTCTAGCAAATAATCTTCTGTGTAAAAAAAAAATATGTACGTATACAAACATGTATACTTGCTATGTATACACACACACACACACACACACACACACGTGCATTTGAAAGGTACGTACTTCTGGAAGGATGCAGTGGAAACTGGCTGCCTACAGGGGGACGGCACTGCGTGGCTGGAGGGCAGGAGGGATCCTTACTTTTCCTGGCCCAGCTTCTTCTACACTCCAAATTTCGTATTATGAATATTACCAATTAATAAGTTAATTTTAAATATCACAGAATAAAATATAATTCTATGAAGAATATATTCCAAAAGGATAAGGTAGGCCTGTGTGTGCACATGTGGGGAGATCCTTAAGATATATGAAGTGAATAAAAACAAACAAGTGTACAACAACATATAGAATACGATCCCCTTTGTGTGAACCTTAAAAGGGATATGCACATATTTACGTTCTGCACACAAACGCGTAACTTTTCTTGGAAGGATATACAAAGGAAAGTAAGTTAATTCTGACTCACTCTGGAGAGAAAAAAAAAAAAATGGGAAAAACTCTTTTCATTTTATAGCCTGCCATGTCTTTTGAATCTCCTAATCCTAAGCCAATGGTCATCTAAGTGCTGGAATCTGGGGTCATTTTTTTAACTTTCATCTTTACATGTGTCCACCTTAAAAATAACTTAATAAATAATGGTCTTAAAAAGTGGTAATCCGTAGTGTTTATTTAAGAGCAGTGAAATGAGTGTTCTCGTATGCAGCTCATAGAGCTATCGGTTTGGTGTGGCTTTCTGGGAAAACAATGTGGCAACACAGAGCTAGCATCTAGTCTTTAAAAAGTTCATACCTTCTGACCTGTTAATTTTGACTTTGGAACATATCTTGAGGAGGATTTCTATTTAAGTATTATGTGCAAAAACAAAAGATTTAAAACAAGCTAAATTTCTCACTGGGGGGGTATGTGAATTAAACTGTGGTAAGTCACACCCTGGATACGATGACTGGATTTGGATTCTGCAGTCAGGTTTAAAAATGAAATACGAAAAGCAGGAAATAAAACAGTATACAAACTGCTTTTATAAGAAGGAAATCTATACAGATGTAAAATATGGCAGCTGTCTGATTAGAGAACTCGTCCCAAATCCTAGCACTCTCTCCACGCCTGGCTGCATCTCCCCACAAGGAGAATATATCATCTTTGTCATCAGGAAGCACTAACTGTTATTTACAAAATGTCAATCAGAAGCAAAACCTTACCGGAGGGGGAAGTTTTCCTTCAATTAAAAGCAAAGTATCTCCAGAGCGTATCATAAGTTCTCTCAGGGTTGCATCCTGGGGAAACAGAAATTCCTTTATGACTTCTGACAGGAAGAAACAAGACCCCTGGATCTTTTCTTTAAACCTCTATAACCCTTTCAAGAAAGAAAGAAACAATAAAGCAGGTATCGAGGAGACAGGAAATAAACTAAGACTACATAACACTATCTCATTCTCTATTAAGTTACAGGGTATGAACCGGAAGTATCATAAAGGCTCTGCGGAGAGGGAGGTGGATGGGCTGAGGAAAGTCGGACGGAGCCACAGAGCACGGAATATTAGTTAAGCCTGAAGCTGGGCTGGATATGGAAAGCTAGCGGAAACGAGAAGGAATTCTGATGAAAAGAAGAGCAGGGTTAAGGTCAAGTCCAGAATAAGGGGAAGAGCTCCGAGACATGACAGACCAGAGTACCGGCTGGAGAGTAACAAGACAGGAGGCTAGATCGGAGGGGTGGTCACAGATGGAAGGGCTGTGAACTAAAGGAATTTTTAGCTGCTTTTTAAAAAAGCCACTCAAGTTTTCTGAGAAGGGGTTTTTAAAGACCAGTACGGCTGCTGCATGCACGATATACTGAAGTGGGTTGGAACACCGGACTTGGGGAAGCCACTTGGGTGTAATTTAGGTAGAGGCCAAAAAAAGAAAAGATGAAAAAAGCTGGGCCGGGGCGGCCAGCCATGGGAAGGGCCAGGGAGGAGTGGAAAAGCCCAGAGCAAATACGAAGGACCACAGGTGAGCAGGGGAAGAGTCACTGCAGCCTGAAAACACCAGGCCGGGAAACAGCATCATCTCTGCAAAGAAGAGCCAGTTTTGAGGATAGTAAGTTTGCTCTTAGGGGAATTGTTTGATTCCAATTTGGGAATTAGGAGAGAAGAAAATGCGGAAACCACACGACTAGACACACTCTCTGACCTCCAAACCCCATGTGTTGGGGATTGTCAGGTCTGCGTCTTACTCTGGGCAGTCAGCTTCCCGGCCGAGCCTCAGAGGCGCCTCTCTGCGCGGACTCACTGGGCCCCAGAGAGCAGAGCGGTTGCGGGGGAAGGCCCAGTCCTCCTGCCTAGATCAGCCTTCTGCTGATGCTCAATGCCACCGGCTGTTACTGGACGGCAGGCACAACAGGACTCGGGGGAGCGCGGCTGACGCAGGTACCTAAGCTTGCTTTCTCCCTGAGCTTCTTCATCTTGCGACCACTTCTAAGCCGCCGGGTTTGGACCAGCAAGGTGTGACGCTATCTGGATCAGTAATAAGATGGTTAACCGGAGTCCAACTATCCTGTGGTAATACTGTTCCTAAGGCTACCCAGAGAGTTTGGCTGGATCTAGAGATGCAGTTTCGATCCGAGCCTAAGTGACTGGCTGGTAAGATGAATTCTGCCATCATTAACTTACAGAGAAACGGCGATGAAAATATTCAGGTTTCAAAATTCAGAGTGTATCTTCACATTGTTTCACAAATGTCTTTTGTTCTCTGAAGTTCTCTGCCTTCTCATGAGCAACTACTGTTTCTAGGGACATACTAGAAGAGTACTTAACACGAGTACTTCTTAAGTCAAAAGAGGACTTAACACAGATGTGAGAAACATTCCCATTAGGCTAAGACTTTCCCTCTGACTTTAGCAAAGACCTACCAGGTACAGACTTTTGTATCTTAAAAAAAATTCAAGTTTTCTCTAGAATTTATTCACCAGTGGGGTGAGGGTGAGTATCCTGGATGAAACACAAACACAGTCATTTCTAAGAGCAAAATGTGTAACAATAATCTTACTTCTTCACATAAAGGCTCTCCAGCTTCGTAACACCAATCCATTTTTCGTAAATGCCACGTGTCTCCTGTCAAAGAATCAAAATCAGGATGAAAAAAAATTAAGGATGAAAAAAAATTAAGAATATATTTTTCAGAGTTTGTCAGTAATGACCCTTCTGGATGAACGAATATCAAATGGGATTTGAGCAAATAACTATTAACTAATTTTTAAAGTAAATTCTCTCTTCCAGGCATGAAGAAAATTAGGTGGTTCCTCCAATTTGGTTAATTTCCTCTCTATTCCACCAAGATCTGCTACTTGCAAACAGGTTCACACTTGCTACTATTACACAACGTTTACGTTATACCTTTATCATTTACACGTGCACACACATCACACAGAATACAGTTATCTGTACGTCTAGGCACAGAATCTCTTCTAAAATCATTATGAAGTTGTTTTATTTCATGGTCTTGGTTGAAAGTATAGGCTAATATATCTTAGCAACTGATAATGTGCACAACCAAACTGTTCCTATCCACTTATCAGTTAATCTAACAAAAATAGTGTTTTTGAAACAGCATTTTAATAAGCTTGGTATAAATGAACATTTATGAATGTTAAATGGTCTTTAATTAGACTTCTCTCAATATGCTTGCTATACTGATGAAATGGGAAAGAAATTTTTTGAAGCGGAGACAGAAGCTGAAGAGAGCAAAAGTTGGAAATCCTTGTTACTGGAAAAAAAAAAAAAAAAAGCAATGTCTTATAAACAGTCAGCCACCCCGCCCGCCAAGAGAAGTTACAGCCAAAGGAGTGAACACAGGTCTAATACTGATCCCGCACAGGCCACACAGATCGTAAATCCTTACCATGCTGTTCTTTGCAGGCCCTCTCTTACCATTAGTTCTAGTTTTAAATACAGTAAGAACTGTATTAATATTTAACTTAATCTAAGTGTTTTTTTTTAAAGATTTTATTTATTTATTTGAGAGAGAGAAAGCACGAGCAGGGGGAGAGGGAGAAGGAGAAGCAGGCTGAGCAGGCAGCCTGACATGGGGCTCGATCCAAGGACCCTGAGATCACGACCTGAGCCGAAGGCAGACGCTTTAACCGACTGAGCCACCCAGGTACCCCTGTAAGTGTGTTTAAAAAACAAAACAAAACCCCACCAATAAGTTAAAGGTGAACACCGTTCCTTCTTCGCAGCATAACGTGGAAGGAAGAACGTGGGTCCTGAAAGCAGAGAGGCTTAGCTACTCGCTGTACAACTCTGGGTAAACCCTTAACCATTCTCAGCCTCTGTCTTGTCATCTGTGGGATGGGGATGGGTGTTGGTCCCTGCACGGAGGCCTGTTGGCTCCTAGAAGGGTGCCTTGTGTGCAGGGCCTGTAACCTCCCTTCCGGTAGCGCCGCCTCGGTTTCAGCTCAGCACGGTCCGCTGACAGCCAGCACTCTAAGGAGAGCCATGTGACGCCCCTGGGAGCCCTCTCACATGATCCCCCCCCCACCCCGGGGAGCTACTTCAAAGACACCCTGGATTTATTTTTTCATTCCTGTTACATTCCCTAGTGTACACTACAGAAGTACTGGCACGAAACACAATGCACTGCAATTCTGCATCAGTGAGGTTAAAAGGAAAAACATCAGCGAAGGGCCTGGGTAATTCCAGAGGGCAGAGGTCCTAGCTTCGTCTCTCTGTGCCCGTGCTGGGCCTGCCTAGGTTCTCTGTACTCGCAGCAGCTAACCCACAGCTAGCTTTCTGTTCGCTCGCACACAGGAACCAGGAGCACGCACTACGTGTGTGCAGACAAACCTGGAGGAAAACACGTTTGAAGGGCTGTCATCAGGCCCTTACTATAAAGACATAACTTATAACATATTAGGACAGAGATCAGTGACATTGTCATGGTCTGGAACTTACCCGGTAGGCCAGACTGCTCCAGCATGAGCTTCAAACACTGTTCAGGAAAAAAAAAAAAAAAAAAAGAAAAGAAAAACCACGTTCATTAATTTTCTGTTTCTGAGGTACAGTATTGGGAGAGATGCCCCTTTTAGACCCTGGGCCTCTCTGTCTTGCTAGATTTAATAATTCCTGAAGGGGTAAGGATGTACACAGTTAAGACGATGAACTGAGGAAGCTCGGCTTCCTAAGAGCTAGAAGGGCCAACCCAGGAGGGGAAAAAAAAGTTGCAGGTGTCCACATCCGAGACGTAGACTCCGCTCACCCACGTCCAGGTCTGCAGCACAACCTTCTGCTCGTGAGGACCAACACTGTGGTGTGGACCGGATATGACTGATTAGGCTGGTTTCATAGATACACATTAACCCCTGCATCCTACAAAAGGAGATTAGCCTTTACGTAGCACCCAAGAGATACAACTGGTCATCTATAAACTCAGGGAGAGATCCGTGCAGCGGTGATCCCATGGCACATAGTAACCAGTGACACATGATTAACAGAGTTTAAATAACAATAATAAAATCAGAAACTCCCAACTTCCTTGGGGGGGAAAACTTACTCTTTTGCCTACCTATAAATCTACAGCAAGAGTAAACAAAACCTGAATTATACTACACTAGCAAGAAGGAAGCAAGAATAAGAAAGATTACTACCGTACTGCGTGGAGGAAGAAAAAGAGCAAAGGCTCAAAATACCCAGGAACAGAGGAACCCTTAAACTATGAGAAGTCTTAAAAGATAAAATGGATTTATACATACCAGTCTTAAAAGACCTCTATAAATTTGAAGTGAAACAAAGTTCTAGTATACATGCAGTGTGATCCCATTTATGATTTAAAAGAAAGCATACGAACAAGTCCAGCTCATTTGTCCCCGAGCCGTTATGAGCGCATCAAAGGTCTAGGAGGACACACACTCGCCGGTGTGGTCCGATCTCACCATCCCGAGACCATGTAGACGTCCGGCCGAGGGGCTAGGGTAGGCTGGTGATCAAGGAGGATTTTTAGCTATAACCCACCCCACTGGAGTTTAAAGAATAAGTCCACGATTACTTGTATGATTAAGAATAAAAAAGACTTCAAAATATACCTACAGGTTGTTTAGAAAGGGACAGCAATGAGAGCACAATCCAGTAAAACACAGGGAATGGGAGCAAGGCTGCAGCCGAGGACAGCTTCCGTTACTTAAGAAAAACGAACAGGTGGGCATTCACCTCCGCTGTGCGCTGGGGAGGACCAGAGCAGGGAGGCCGCTGTGGCCCAGCGGAGCGAGCGCTCGGGGCCTCGGGCTGGGACCCCGAGAGACACGCGGAAGCCCACGAGGGCTGTGAGAACAGGCAGGGCAGGGACCACTCGACGTCTCTGTAAGAACAGGCCCTGGGGAAATGCCAGGCTGCAAAGAAAAAGATCCATCAGGAAGCTGCTGGAATAACCCAGAGGAGACGTGACCAGGGTGTGGCAGTGGAGGGAATGAGATGTGGTCAGATCCTAGATGAACTGTGACGGGAGATTTCCTGAAAACCTGGATGTGAAACAGAAAAGAATCGAGGATGACTCCCTGGTGTTTTGGCCCGAGCGAGCAGAGACATGGAGCCGCTGCCACCGACTGACGAGGGAAACGCGAGGTGCGTGCGAGAGAGGACGGGGGTCACGCAGCGGGGGACGGCTACCAGACAGCCCAGGAGCAGCTGGTCACACAAGCGCAGAGCGCAGGCCCGAGGCCCAGTCTAAGGGAGACAAGGAGCGCAGAGCCGACTGTGGAGGGCGGGGCCTGTGCTGTGGAGGGACCGTGAGGAGCTGTGGTCCTCCTGAGCCAAGCGACAGGAGCGTTTCAAGGCCCAGAGAGGCATCGACCGCGTCAGAGGACAACGGAGCACTGCTCACGGGACCCAGCCACGTGGAAAGGAGTGAGTCTGCCCGCAGTGGGCTCCAGAGTGGACAGACAGACAGACACTTTGCTCCTCTGAAAAGTTCTGCGGCCTCCTGTCTTTGACATGAAAAGCACCAAAAAGTTAAAAGCTAAATGAAAAGCTAGGAAAATATTTAGAGCAGGTAACAAAAAGTAAAAAAAAAAAAAAAAAAAAAATTAAAAAACGTTTTGCTGTGGACAATTTCAAACACATGCAGAGAGGGTGGTAAACGTGGGCCGTCGGTCCCCGTCAGCCAGCCTCCCAGCCTCCGTGACTGCCGTGGCCCGTCCTGTGTGCCACACTCCCACCCATTTCCTGTCCCGCCCCTGCCCCCAGGTGCTTTGAGGCAAGAATGTCAACTACCATATCATTAATTAGTATTCAGCACTCATCTCTAAAAGGTAAACATTCTTTTAAAAAACATAAGCCTGAAACAATTACATCTGAAAAAACTTAAGAATTCCTTAATAACAAATACCCAGTTGGTGTTCATATTCCCTTTTTCTTTTTCAGTAATCTCTATGCCTGACATGGAGCTCAAACTCAACCCCAAGATCAAGAGTCACATGTTCCACCAACTGAGTCAGCCAGTTGCCCGCCCCCCCCCCCATTTCCCTTAGTCTCTCTTACACTGTAACTAAGGTTGTCCTGGTTTGTATCAAGAGCCAAATAAAAGCGCACACACTGCACCTGCCCCTCCTGTCTCCTGAGTCCCTTCAGGACGGTGCAGACGGTGGCCCTGGGCTGCGGTAGCCCGTCCCCCCATCCCCTGTACTTCTCAGAAACTGACCTTCAGACCTAGGAGCTCAGGTCCACTTCGTTTTGTTTTGTTTTGGCAAGAAGAGCATGGGTATCATTTTGAACTACTGTAATGTGTGCGTGTTACTCTTTTTGGATTGTTAGTAGTCTTTCAGGATCATCGTTTAGACACATTAATTCATTAGGAGTTAAAATAACCGCGATAGTTTAAAATTCTTTCATTTTATTTATTAGCTGAGATATGTCTATCAAAACACCTTCTCATTATCTATTTGGTTACCCTTCAGTATAGCTTCCACAAGAAACACAGGATAAATGCTTGACCCTTCTCCTTATGGTTCCCCAGCATCCACTCTGCATAACCAGTGAAGATGGGTCTTTTTAGGATCCCTTATGAACTCGTGGTTTTAAGTATGCATAGTAATCAGTTTTATTATTATTCGCATGAAGGCTCAAACTGTCTCATCTGTGACTAGCAGGAGCCTCTTCAAGTTGGCTCCTGAGTTTCTCCGCAGACCCCAGCAATCTTTGCTAGCTTTACTGCTTCTGTCAGGATAAGATGTTCCAGGCTCACCTGACACGTTCCTGACCTAGATACAGACCCAGCCGCTACTCCAAGAAGCCCTGATTCCTTTCAGTAGGGAGCGGTATTTAGCAACCACAATCTGGGTGCTGGGGTGCTTGCTCCCACCAGGTTGGTCACTGTGTCTAAGCTGTTTCAGGGGGAAGAGCTAGAAAAAAATTTAAAAACAAACATCAAGTTCATTCTGACTCTTCTGATTCAAATTCAGGAGTACAGGCTCTACTCAGCTACCCCAATGCTATGTGTCTCTCCATTTTCCAACAGTGAAAGTCCTAGTTCTCTGTGATGCTAACATAATTATTACCCCATACACACACACACACACACACACACATTCATGCCCGGGGGTGTGATTATGTATGTACATAACCTAAAAACACCAGTAGGAAATATGCCAAAATGTTGATGTTTGTGCATTAAAGGATAATGAGGGGTTTTAATTTTTTCTTTTACTCCATTTCTATGTAGCCCAAATTTCTATAATAAACAAGTATTACTGATAATCAGAAAAAAAAGATAATCTTATTTATTTTTTAAAGATTTTATTTATTTATTTGAGAGAGAGAGAGTGAGAGACAGAGCACGAGAGGGAAGAGGGTCAGAGGGAGAAGTAGACTCCCCGCTGAGCAGGGAGCCCGATGCGGGACTCGATCCCGGGACTCCAGGATCATGACCTGAGCCGGAGGCAGTCGCCTAACCAACTGAGCCACCCAGGCGCCCAATAATCTTATTTTAAAAATTTGGGTTGTTCACCAATTTTCAAGTTCCCAAAACCACTCTTTTAGTGAATGCACAGAATTCTCTAAAGTATATTATGTGAACCCTAGCCTCAGGACCTCAAAATCCGAACACGGGTTACCATGGCTCCCCATACCATATGCCCACAGACCTCTCCCCACACCAGAAAAAGTAAAATTACTTACATCTCTCACAGATACTGTTTCTTCTACTATGATCTCCATCTCTGTACCAGGCTGAACATCACTCCCCATAGTGAAAAACAGGAACAGCTAAGATCAATGAATGCAATTTAACCTAAATTTTAAAATTCTAAAAATGTATTACCTGCTTCCAAAAAAGAAAAGCTAATGGTCCATGAAATTTTAATAAAAATCTCATATCATATAAAAACAATGACGCTGGGTAATTTAATGTTGCAATTTAAACAAGTCTCGACAACCCAGAAATGTAAGCATGCTTCATGCATGTTTCCACTCCCACAGGTGTTAGATCATTGTTTCTGTCTCCCAGATATTATTTATCCCACCATGATCTTCATTTCTCTCTTGGTCACTCCTCAAAGGGACTGGCCACATGCTGTAAGCATTCACTGGGTTTTCTCTGTCATTTGGCTGTGATCTTATTTTCTGTCCAGGGAATCTGATCGCCTGTCAGTTCAGCTCCTTACGGCCCTCCCTTTCCTTTCGAACACCATCTCACCTGTCACCTTTTCCTCCTCCCAGCCTGTCACACACTCCTACGTGGCCACGTTCAGGGGAAGAACAAATTAAAGAGAAGGTAGCTGGGAAACTAAAGAAGTGCATCCGGGAACCACAGGGATCCTGACAGGAGTCCAGCTCCGGCGAGACAGAGTCTTGCCGGTAAGGACCCCGTGAATTTTGGACCCGTAATGAAACTTTACTGACCACGTAGGGCTTCTGGCAGACCTAATACTTTATACAGAAAACGAGGACCGATTCAAAGCAAAGCTGCTATGAGACCATTGTATTACTGCAGAGAATAATTAAGTCCAAAATCCATATGCTCTATTTCACTACATCTGAGATGCTGCTGGCTGTTCCTCACCACTTTCTGTGCCACTAAGAAGGAGAAACAGTGCAGCTGCTGCCATCAGATGGCGCAACGTGGGGAAAAGGGGTGCTTTTTAGAATTTCTGAAACGGGGTGGTTCAAACAGGTGGCCACTCAACTTTAAAAGTCCCCCTTAACCACAAAACTCTCACAGAAAAAGAACCTTGTGAACATGCTGACGTTGATATTTCTGATTTAAACACAAAAAACTAGATGGTTCTTTGTATGCCTAACATACAAGGTATCGTTTAAGAAAGAAAAAACTTCTAAGAAAAATGATTACTGGGAGCAGTACTTAAGGTAAGAATCACGAAATTAAGAACTTCCGATTCTGGGAAGCTTGATCTCGTTCTGTCAGGTAGACCCCACGTTACCTGAGAGGAAGTTGGTGCTTTTCCAGGACACAGTCCCAGTGAACTCCCCATCTTCAGTTCTGCTTCCTTCAAAGTGTAACTGTCTGGCACTACAAAGAATTTGGAGAACAGGATGAATGTTATTAATTCCTACCTCTCTGGGCAAAATAATATACTGATATCAGCCTTCCTTTGAAAATCAAGAATGTCAAGAAAGAAAGAATATGAGATGTACTCCATGCAAAAGGATGACCTATATTATAGGTATGTTTGATTTTCAATTTCCACACTCTAGGATATATCTCCCTATCTGTACAACAATGCTAAGAAATAAGAGACAGCCACGAACGTTCTGGATTCATACTTAGTAAGAATCAAAGAGCCATTGTTTACACGGATTAAAAGCTAGCTATTCCGAATTGATTCATCAATGATGGACCAGCCTCTTCCACGTTCAAAGCTGCTGTGGTGACCATCACTTAATTAAGTCTAATGACAGGATGCAGAGGTGAGAACAAAGTCTATTCTACAACTCTTATCACAGTAACAGGAGCAATACAAACACTTTGACAATGAATCTAGAAAGATACAACCCGATCAAAACAATTGCCTAAAATGAGATCAGCTCATCAGAAAGATCGGTGTTTTCCTTTAGAAAACAGAAGTGTTTGAATTTCTGGTTATGATTTTCTATACTACGTGAAGACAGCACTGGGACAATAAGATGTCCAATAAATTAGTTTCTAAAATGGAATTTAAAGATATTAGGTACTGGAAGCCATCATTTAAATAAGAAAGATCGATGGTGTGAGCACGTGTCAGTATTTGAAAGCTACCACGAAGATTTACCTGGACAAAGCAGCTTCCCGTTTCTATCAATAGGTCTCAAACAGCTGTTCTCAGCTACAAATAAAAAGAAGCCAGTTAGCCACCAAAAAAACTAGAGCTGCTCTACTGTTGCAATTAGCAGAAAGCTACAACGAGCTACAAAACAAAAAACCCCCATCAATCAAAAAAAAAAACAAAACAACCCCTCCCCCCCCTCCCCCCAAGTCCAGGCTCTTCAGTTCGCACAGGGCCATGAGAAGGCCTACCACGCCAAAACCACGCGAGGCCAGCTCAGTCACCGTGAGGACACCGCAGCTGCCCTGGGACCTCTCAACACCATGGTTACAACAGTTAAATCTCCGTCCGTTCCACATGTACAAATTTAAAAAATTGCAAAATTAGTATGTGCACTGCAAGTTAAAACACTAGACACATTTGAGAATTTTTTTTTGGTAAAAAACATCAAGTCTGGTTTACACAGGGCTCGCTTCTTGCCGTAGAGCTTACAATACCGAGTGAGCATCTTTTCTATCCCCGAGCGAACCATCATCCTCTAAGTTTGCTCTGCTTCCCAAATTTCCCGTTTTGTGCTTTCAACCTCATGAAGGGTCTGCCGGAGGCTCCTTGGATGTTGAGGGTTTTTGCCAGCATCACCTGCTCAGCGATATCGTCGTCCTGTCACAACCGCTTTCCTCACGTCCCTTCACGTCCCCGGGCTGCATATCTAGTCTCTGGAGAGACAGCAGTGCCAACATTACCCCAGCCAGCTACTTCTTCTAGGCCTCTTTAGAGTTTCTCGGCTGCACCTTCATCCCTGGGAAGTGAGTCGCTTAGCCATGAGTGCAAGACGTCACGTGGGCTTACCGTGGGAGAGAGGGGACAACAGGCCACACTCTTGGCTGTGGTGCAATGAAGACCAGACGCTCTAGAGGGAGGTAATCGGTCACGGATCCTGATGCACATCTGCTATTTACGTAGCGACCTGTGGAATGAAGAGCTGGTAGCAAAGTTTTACTTCATGCAATTACGCCGTTCACATCCAGTGTAGCAGACATTGGGACCACGCTGTTGGGCGGCTGATGTTATGTAATGAGCCATGGTAACTGAAATTTGTGCAGACTGCCTCTATGTAAAATATGGTAGGTGATTTTAATGCTTATTAAATGGATTAGGGCCAGTGGGCCCTATATTTGCAGGTGTGAAGATTCTGGCTTTGTGGGAAGGAGCACTCCAGGTTTTGAGTCCAAACGGAATCCTTACAAAGCTGGATAGGAGTGGGGGCGCTGGGAGGACGGGTGAGGCCTCCCGGGAGGACAAGCATGACGGGAGCCTTCTGAGTCCGCACTCTTATCAGACCACAGCAAATCGCTGAGATTCCAGAGTTGTACATGTTACACAGTGGTACTGTGCAGCTGGCAAACCATTCTAAGACACATTTCCCGACCACTGAAACAGCTTACGAGGAGTTCTTCAATTTAAAAAATGCATCTCAGCACTGCCTCCTTAAAGTATTCTTTCAGTTCACAAACTGTGTCTTCTACGTGCCAGGCGCCGCACCAGAAGCGGACGACAGCACGGCAGTGAGGGGAGACGGCCACGGACTCTGCCCTGTCTCGTCTGACGGAGGAGGCGGGCCTTCGCCACACGCAGCACGGGCAGTGAGGCGCGAGCGTACGCGGTACCGGGAGAAGAAAACAGACGTTAGCCGAGACTGCGCGCTCAGGGATGATGGCAAGTAACACTTTGGCTCGGGGCAAGTGGGTGGCCGAAGTCAGCAGAGAGGAGGGAAGAGGAGAGAGTTCAGGGGGAGGACCCCACAGAGAAGTGGGGCGCCGTGGGTGCAGTGGGAGCACTGGGACACTAGGGCCTCTGAAAGCCAGCGTGGCAGGTGTGTGAAGCAGGACGGGGCCGCAGGAGGCTGCGAGGCCGTGGGCAGACAAGGCCGCTTCTTGAAGGCTGGGCTGAGCAAAGAGCCTGCGGGCGATGGACAAGCACTACAGGGCCCTGGGCAGAGGGGTGATACGGTCTCATTCGCCTCCACTTAAGAAGATCACTTGCTAGAAGAGCAGTTCAGACGGGGGCAAGAGTGAAAGAAGGGAGACCTGTTTCACGGGAAGATGATAAACTATTCATTTTAATAAACCATACGCTTTTAATCAATTTGAGGTGTAAGTTACAATAAAACACGTCCTGTTTAAGTGTACAGAGTCTGATCTAAACACTCAGCAACCACCAGCAAACCGAGACAGGATTTGCATCACCCCCCAAAATTCCCTCATGCCACTCTGCAGTCAACCTCCCCCTGCAATCCAATTTTCTGCCCCTGTCACTAAAAGCATGGGTTTTCTGTCCTGAAAATTTCACGTAAGTGGAGTCATAAGAGTATGTGCTCTTTTGTGTCCGGCTTCTGCGTTGAGAGTCACCCGTGTTTTGCAGGTGGTAGCTTGAAGCTCGTGTTGATGAACCACCTCCTGTTGTTAGGATACAACACAATTTGCTCACCCATTCACTGCCTTATGGACTTTTGGATTGTATCCACCTTTCCATTATGAACATTTACATAGAGTATTTGTAAGGATATGGTTTCATTTGTAAGGATATGGTTTCATTTTTCTTGGGTAAGGCACCTAGGATGGGTAAGTGAATGTTTAAATTCCTAATAAGCAAGCTAACTCTTTACCATTTTGCACTCATGCCGCAGTACGTGGGAGCTGCTCCACATCTTCGCTTGGTTTTGTTGGGCCTTTAATTCTAACCATTCCACTGGGTGTGCAGTGGTGTATCATTGAGGTTCCAGTCTGACAGCTAACCAGCTTCATAGCTAATGACACTAAGCATCTTTCCTGTGCTTACTGGTCGTCCATAGGTAGGTGTTCTTCGGTCAAGTGTCCTCCCCGTGTGGGCTGAGTTCTCTTCTGATTTAAGTTACAAGTATTTTTTTTTATACAACCTGGATACAAGTCTACGTCAAACGTGCTACAAATTTTTTTTTCTCCCAGTTTGTGGCTTGCCTTTTTAAATGCCTTTTGAAGTACAGAAGTTTTAAATTTTGATACTGCCCAATTTATTAGTTTTTTTCTTTTACGGTTTGTGCTGGAGTCCTAACTAAAAAAAAAAAAAAAAAAAGCCTTTTTTCTCCCAGTTTGTGGCTTGCCTTTTTAAATGCCTTTTGAAGTACAGAAGTTTTAAATTTTGATACTGCCCAATTTATTAGTTTTTTTCTTTTACGGTTTGTGCTGGAGTCCTAACTAAAAAAAAAAAAAAAAAAAAGCCTTTTCCATATGATAAAAGTAACAAAGATTTTCTCATAAATTCTCTCCTAGAAATTTTATGGAAATGGTTTTAACGTTTAGGTCTATGATCCATTTTGAATTAGTATTTTACATGATGTAAGGCAAAGCTAGAGGTTCATCTTTGCATCCATGGATAGCTAATTGGTCCAGCACCTTACGTTGAAAATACACTATTTTTCCCCATGGGAATACCTTAGTACTTTTGTTGAACGTCAAGGGACTTTCATTTATTTGCACCAATGTAGTTCCAATGTAAATATTTTAGGCTCAAAAACCACATACAGTCTCTATTGCAGAAAAGGAGCCCTTTAGAAGTGTGAAAACTATTCTTAGCTCACTGACTGCACAGAAACAGGTTTTGGCCTAGACAGCTTGCTGACCCCTGCACTATGTCTGCTCCCATGCTAGGACCCACTGTCTTGACGTCTGCAGCTTTAGAGTAAATCCCGAAATCAGGTAGTGTGACTCTTCTGATTTCTTCTCCCCTCAAATTGTTAGGATACTCTAGGTTCTTTGCATTTCCATGTAAAGTGAATCAGCTTGTCAATTTCACACACACACACACACCCACACACACACACACACACACACACACACACACCCCCACCCTGCTAGGATTCTGAGTGAGGATGCACTGAATCTACAAATTGATTTTGGGAGAATTCACTTCTTAACCATGTCATGTTTTCTGATGCAAGAACATGGTGCATCGTTCCACTTACTTACATGTTCTTTGACTTTTCACAGGGATATTTTGTCAGTGTATATGTCCTGCACATATTTCAATAAATTTATCCCCAAGTAGTTCATGATATCTTATGCTATTAAAATGTTTTCCTAATTTCATTTCCAGTTTTTTTCTGTTGCTAGTAAACATACAATGGATTTTTGTGTATTAACTTTGACTTCTTGTTAAACTTCCTCGTCCTAGTAGTTTCTTAAGAGAATCCTTTAGATACACAGACAGTAAGCACATCAACAGTGCTCACCACCACTGCATTAGGAAAATCAATTAAACACACAGTGAGAGTAACTCCTACCCACTAGCGTGGCTACAGTCAAGACGACAGATACAAATGCTGGCAAGGATGTGGAGAAACCACAATGCTAGCACACGGCTAGTGGGGACGGAGATGCTTCAGCCACTCAGGAAAGTAGAATGGCAGTTTCTTATAAAGTTAAACACAAATGTGCCATATGACCCAGCAACTACAATCCTGCAGATCTACCCGAGAGAACCGGAAACATGTCCACACGAAGACTTACATGCAAATGTGTATAACAGCATTATTCATAAAACCTCCAAACTAGAAACAATTCAAATGTCTATCAAGAGGTGGATGAATAAACAAAATGCGATACATCCATACGATGGAACACTGGTCAGCAATAAAAAGGAACACATTTCTGATACACACTAAATCATGGATGAACCTCAAAATTGGTATGCTAAGTGAAAGAAGTCAGACACGAGGGAGTTCATATTATATGGTTCCATTTACTTAAAATGTCCGGAAAAGTCTAGAGAGACAGAAAGTAAATGAGTGGCTGTTGGGGCTTGGAATGCAAATGGGGCCCGAGGAATCTTTTTGGAGCAATGGAATGTTTTAAAACTGGATTGTGCTCATGGCTGTACAACTCTGCACGTTTACTAATCATCACTGACTTATTCACAGAATGGGTGTTTGATGGTATGTGAGTTATTATACCTCAAAAAAGCTGTTAAAGAAAACCTAATGCCGAGTGAAGAGTTTCAGAATGTTATATTCTGTATGACAGAATTTAAATGTGAAAATACAATATACACATATATATACACCTGTATATGGAAGCATAATATAAACAGAACAGTATGAATGCATACAGAACACACCCAAATCAGATATACTGGCTGCATTTGGGGAGGGAGAGGGAGAGGTCTGAGGAGGAGAACATAGAGATTTTTAACTTTATCTGCAATGTTTCAAACCTTAAAGATATGACAAAATGTTAACATTTGTCCATGTGGGGTGGTAGGTGCATGAACTTTCCCTATACTCCCTTATTTTTTTAAAAACATTTTATTTATTTATTTGAGAGAGAGGGAAGGAGGGAACACGAGCAGGGGAGAGGCAGAGGGAGAAGCACACTCCTCACTGAGCAGGGAGCCCGACTCCCTGGGCTCCATCCCAGAACCCTGAGATCACAACCTGAGCCGAAGGCAGACGCTTAACCGACTGAGCCACCCTGGCATCCCTGTACTGCCATATTTTTTTTTAACCAAAAATCAAAACTAAATTAAACCAAAAAAACCCGAGGGCAAATGTAAGTGATTACCTAGTTCCTTCATTAATTTTAGTTCCTTTATGGCTTTTATTCGAAGATCAAACACCACCTACAACAGAGAAATAAACTAGTGACTGTGTGCATGAGCCCAACGGGAGGGGAGGGTGCCGAGGCCGTCAGTGAACACATACACAGCTCAGCAGACTTACCGGTTACTGGACAGAAGTTTCTGCCTACTTGAAAAAAGATTTTTTTCCATCTCTGACATTCATTTCCTTCTTCTTCCAAGTTAAAACCAAAAACTGGGATCTTAACAGTTAAGGCTTTACCAAACCGATGATAACCAGAACAGAAAGACCAAGAGCTCAAGAAACAATCCTAGCTATAAAGGCAAAAAGCTGAAAACCCACACTAACTTTTCTAACGAGAGCAAACAAAAGAAGATGCAGTTAATCTTATTTCTTTAGGTTAAGAATGATAAATTTAGGACCAGTGAGCATAAAAAAATATAAAAATGGGCAACACTAATCCAAGGGCACTATTTAAAATTTTTGTTTAAATTACTTTTAGATTGTTTTCTCTCTTTTCTTTTTAGTTTAGGCTAACTGCCTCTACGGCATGGGAAATTCAGGGGTAAAAGTGATGTCAGCGATCACGGACTGGACCCTCCCCGCAGCGCCCCACACAGCACCAAGAAGGAACCGAGACTGGAGTAACTGGACTTCACCAAAGCCTCCCACTTAGGGTCAGGGTGGCAGATCTGCCATACCAACCAATACTAATGTACCCTAAGAAATTAGAATATTTATAGAAAACATTCTAATAGGTTTCTTTTGGTGTTCTAGAAAAAAAAAACAAAACAACTTAATGACTTGACACCACATGAATATAAAGAGATGTTTCCCAGAATGATGTTTAAGGAAACCAGGGTCACAGTCTTCAAGTGGAAAACTGAAGGACTCCCTTTTAAGAGCAGCTGATTTTAGAGCGCACAGAGTACGATGCAGAATAATTTAAGATAAGCTTAAAAAAACAAGCACCAAAAAACAACACAACACAAAAACAAAACATATTTGCCTGGTTTAAAAAACAGAGAAAAGATTATGGGAAAATAGCATTTTATATTTATCAAAGCTAGAGGATTCCACGAACTAATTAAATAGGTAAAAGCCTACATTCTAACTGTAGCCTCGGATGGAAAAAAGGCACACATTTTATTGAAACGTGCCAAGGGCTAATACAGGTAGGCAAGAGGTAATCAAATATTAACAATAAAATGCTGATTTCCTCCCCCCACATTTTTGTAAATAGTAAGCTCTATGCCCAACGTGGGGCCTGAACTCATGACCTTGAGGATCAAGAGCTGTGTGTTCTACCGACTGAGCCAGCCAGGTACCCCAAAAAGTTGATTTCTTAAGATCTAGAAGCCCACTGAGACAAGCGTTCTGGAAGATTTCACGTACTGCTTTTTAAATCAAACACTGTTAAACTAGAAAACCGTCCACCAGACTTGAACTGTAATCTACTCACCGTGTTCACAGTTGCTGATATTTTAACTTGCTTCTCTTCGGATTCTAATTCACATAAATTTTGAACTTGGAGCCAGTTGATCTCATTCATACCAGTGAACCATTTCCCTTGTTTGAGCAACAAACTGTAGGAATAAAGACATTTAAAAAAATGTGTCTCTACACAGCGCTTCTATGGATCAGAAAGGATCAGAAAATTAATACTTTTCCTTAGGTACCACTTCCAAAATTCTGCACGTGTGCTTTGATGTGACTAATTAAAGGTGACCACCGGTCTACTGAGCTGGCTTTTGGCTTTAAGAAAGCTATCTTTCTAGGGCAGTGCTGGCAGTTGTGCATGGAGTCTATCTCAGGACTCCAAGTATGCTCTGACTTGTACAAATAATTTGTTACATTTTTTGTTTTGTGTTCTGCATTGCCACATTTTTCAAAAAGAAGTGTCGTCACGGAGTAATCCGCTGCTGACTTGGGCCTGCACACCGGAATCCCACGGCGAGCTTTCCGAGTACTGATGCCAGAAGCCCACCCCCAGGATCTAGATTCAGCTTAATAACAGGACAGTCATGCACAGCTGTACACACAGACACTACATAAAAGTGCCATATTTAAGGGGCATATCATGGCCGTCGTACACGTCGCATATTTCTACGTTTATTATAGTTTTATTTTATGACAGCAGATGGCCTACAAGAACAAGTACGGTGTCTCGCTCTAACAAAATTTTCCTCCACATAGTGGTACAGGGTCTGGAGGAAGGAGTGGCTTTCTAATTCACACAGACGCGCTGGATGCTCAGGCAGAGAAGCCCTCTTTAGAGTGTGTATGAGACCCCGAAGCACAATGCTACTCTGTATTTCAGCTGTTCCACCCAGGGCTACATCCTAAAGACAGCAGAGTTTTTGTTTTTTTTGTTTTTTTTTAAAGATTTTATTTATCTGACAGAGAGAGACACAGCAAGAGAGGGAACACAAGCAGGGGGAGAGGGAGAAGCAGGCTTCCCGCTGAGCAGGGAGCCCAATGCAGGGCTCGATCCCAGGACCCTGGGACCATGACCTGAGCCGAAGGCAGACGCTTAACGACTGAGCCACCCAGGCGCCCCAAGGCAGCCAAGTTTTAAGCACAGAGATGTTCCCTGAAGACTACCCTGAAGTGGTGAACGACCGCATGAGGACAGTGAGGACGACACGGCCACCTTTTACCAAAAGCGTGCAAACTCTCTCTAAGCAGTGAATGCCCACACCCTCCGGTTCTAGGAAGCTGGTACTCATTTCTACCCTCATTTTGCAGAAGAAGAAACTGAGCAGAGGGAGATGAGGTGACTTGCACAGGGTCGCACTGTCAGGACGTGATCAAGCTGGAAACAAGCCCCGGTGGCTTGTCCTCCCCCCTGCACAGACTGCCTGGCGCGGGAGCATGGTTAGGTAAGCTACATCAACACCCACTGCTATGTAGCCGTGCCTCGGGTCTACAGACATGGGGGGGAAGCAGGATATAACCGTCCATGAAATAATCATTAGTAAGCTTCAAAAGAAAAAGCCTTCAAAACAACAACCAAAAAAAACCCAATTATTTGTGCTCAGGGCAGAAGGAAAGCTAAGAGTGACTGCCCCTGCACAGTGGACACTGTTTTGGGCCTCCTGTCGTCACTTCTGTATTTCCCAAGTCCTAATACATGCTATATTACATTTTTTTAAAATTTAATTTTGGGAGGGGCAGAGGGAGAGAGAGAACCTTAAGCAGGCTCCACGCCCAGCACAGAGCCCGATGCGGGGCTCGATCTTACAACCCTGAGATCGTGACCCGAGCCGAAATCAAGAGTCAGACACTTAACTGACTGACCCACCCAGGCGCCCCACATGTATTACTTTTTATAAAGGGACATATAATAAACTTTTACATTAAATAAACAAAGTGCAGAAATAAATGCCCGGAAAACACTTGTCCAAAAGAGTGATAAATACAAAATAAAGACTGTTCCAAGTGCTCTGCCTCTGGGTCACAGCCACTATGAATGATAAAATGGAGACTCCGACTGTTCAAGCAGGGAACGATTTGTTGCTTGCAACTTCAAGTCTTTAATATATGGAAACCGGGAGGTTACAGGGCAGGACACACTGACCACAGAAATGTAGCATAACAGATGTGGATGACAAAATGGAGACAGGCAGCACTTCTGAGCTTCCAGTGTGACTCACAGGACACAAGAGCGTGATCCCCCACGTACCTGCCCTCTCTGGGCAGCTGGGAGGGTCTCAAGACTCAGAAAAAGGATTATAATGAAAAACTCAATTGCCTTATGGAAGACTTGTGACAAAACAGACAAATCTAGCTAGATCTTAATATCCTCCTCATGAAAAGATTCAGGAACTTTCTTTGTGTGAATGTGCCTTCAGTTTTGTAGGAAGTGCTAATTGGAATTCATTTGACAAGATTCCGCTTTATAAACAACTAATCTGGATTATATCTCATCTATATCTACATTATTTAGTTACCTCATTTACCAACAAATAAAAATTTTAAAAAATTACATTATAATATCATCTTCCTCCAAGCTGCCTAACCCAGAACACTCGCGTATACGATATCCAGGACACAATGTTTAGAGACAAAAGGAAAATACTGAACTATGATCAGTATTAAAATAAAGCTTTCGAGTTCTAAGCGACAGAACTATCGTTAAAATAATTAAAAAAGGCATTCTCTTATGTTTCAGCAGGGTACCTGTCATCTCGAGAATCCCGAACGAGAACCAAGCTCTTGTTCCTGAGACCCTGCTCTCTGAACGTCTTCTTCAGGTCTTCCTTGGGAACAGCGACCCAGTTCTCTCCCCCGGCAGGGTCTGTGGCGTTGACGAAGAGGACACCCACGGGTGCCGCCAGGGTGGTGAGCACGGCGCCCACCTCTGCATTAGATGGAAAGACGTGTGGAGACTCTACCAACTGCTGACACTTTTCCCCCTCGCTGCTTGTCGCTAGATGAAGAACGTTTAAGAGCAGAGGTTCGCAGTCACTCCCGGTTGGAATCTGGATGCCACCAACCTACAAGAGTATCAGGACAACCATTAGTATAGTTTCTATTTGCCAAAATCAGGTCAACGTAATCACACGGTAAAAGACTACTCTTAGAGGGGCGCCTGGGTGGCTCAGTTGGTTAAGCGACTGCCTTCGGCTCAGGTCATGATCCTCGAGTCCCGGGATCGAGTCCCGCATCGGGCTCCCTGCTCAGCAGGGAGTCTGCTTCTCCCTCTGACCCTCTTCCCTCTCGTGCTCTCTATCTCTCATTCTCTCTCTCTCAAATAAATAAATAAAATCTTAAAAAAAAATACTACTCTTAGAGAATTTTTTTTTTCTTTTTAAGTGAAATGTCTTAGATGTATCAGAACTTTAGATTTTTCCTTTGAAACTTTCTCTTAGCCTTCTTTTGTTTTCTAGGAGAGCAATGTGGAGTGGAAACAGATGTACGTGTCCTCAGCAGTGGTAATAAAGCCCTAGGCGGAAAAGAAAAGAAGAAAAAAGCCTTGGAAATACATGAGACGGACCAAGGACAGACCACAGCGTGGGTGAGGTGCTGCTCGCCCCTTTCCTGACTTGGAGAACCCCGTCCGCTCCTGTAGGTCACTGCCCTAACTCAGGGTAGCTACCTGCCCCCTCCTGAACTCCCTCAGGGAGCATGCGCAGAACCCTCCTGCAGCAGCTGTGTTGGTGGGATTATGTACACAGGACCGCCTGAAGGACAGACTGATTACGCACCTTCGTAGGGAGCTTCTGGCACTGCAGACACACTCGACAAACATCTCCTTAGCATACAACTAACACTGACTGTACCTAAAATCTGTCAGACATTTCAGGTGTTTTCTAGTATCTAGTTGCCTTCACAGACGCTGAATAAAGTATTCTTACAATGACACTTAAAAAATCAAAAACCATCATGCATTGAAGAAATCTTCAATCCGTTCTTACCTCCACCCCATTCCATACAAAGAGGTCTTCCCCGTCAGCAATCTCCATTTCACACAGCATCATGTCATCCCCTAGAAGATGAGCTCATCAGTGAGACCATTCATCACAATCACCAAAAACAACTAAACTAAAGAAAGAGCTGAGACACTTAAATATTTGTTTGAAGCAGCAGTCTCATCAAGGAAAATTAAGAAAAAGGCAGTAATTGCATTTATTATGTTGGTATTATTTAAGATTTTTTTATCTTTATGCTTTTCATTACACTCTTTAGTTGTTTGTTTTTCACTTTATGTAAGTATCTCCCCGTGTTGTTACGGAAGCTCTGTGAGCACGAGAGCAGGGGAGGTGCTGACCGAACCGGACACTGCGTGCAGAAGGGAGGCTCAGGCAGCACATGGCCCCAGCCCCAGCACTAATCAGCTGTCTGGTCTGTGTACTGCGGCCCCATGCTTTAGTTTTCTTGTTTAGGAGATGCAGGTAAAAGAATTTTGTGAAAATCAAATGAGATAATTTATATAAAACTTATCTCTGGATGTGGTGCAGTGAAGTCCCAAATAAATGTATGTCACCGTGGCTGCTACTATCATTATTGCTTTGTTGTTATTCACGGGTAGTAAAAACTTTTAAGCTCTCCAAGTACTTTGGGAGAAAAAAAAAAAATCAAGCCATATAAACAAGATGTTAATGGTTTGAAACCATTTTGCTAAAAAAATCTGTGGTAATACAAAAAAAATTCCACAGCCTTTTATTATTTTTTTAAAAGATTTGTGAAGGGGCACGTGCACCCCAATGTTTATAAGCAGCAATGTCCACAACAGCCAAACTATGGAAAGAGCCAAGATGTCCATCAACAGATGAATGGATAAAGAAGATGTGGTATATATATACAATGGAATATTATGCAGCCAACAAAAAATGAAATCTTGCCATTTGCAATGATGTGGATGGAACTAGAGGGTATTATGCTAAGCGAAATAAGTCAATCAGAGAAAGACAATTATCATATGCTCTCAGTGATATGTGAAATTTGAGAAACAAGGCAAAGAATCATAGGGGAAGAGAGGAAAAAAATGAAACAAGATGAAACCAGAGAGGGAGACAAACCATAAGAGACTCTTAGTCTCAGGAAACAAACTGAGGGTTGCTGGAGTGGTGGGGGGTGGGAGGGATGGGGTGGCTGGGTGATGGACAATGGGGAGGGTAAGTACTGTGGTGAGCGCTGTGAATTGTGTAAGACTGATGAATCACAGACCTGTACCCCTAAAACAAATAATACATATGTTAATAATAAAAAATTTTTTTTAAAAATTAAAAAAAATGTTTTTAAAGATTTGTTTGAGAGAGAGAGAGAGACAGAGAAGAGGGGCAGGGGCAGAGGGAGGGGGAGAGAGAGTCTTAAGCAGACTCCTTGTTGAGCTTGGAGCCTGACATGGGGCTCAATTTCACGATCCTGAGATTATGACCCAAGCCAAAACCAAGAGTTGGATGTTTAACCGACTGCGCCACCCAGGTGTCCCCACAGCCTTTTAAAAAATTGTTTTGGTGGAGAGGTAGCTTTAATTTCAAAAAAAAAAAAAGAAAATATTTCTGTGTTTGCAAAATTCACACACCACAGAAATCAGATAAATTATTTGTTTGAAAACCGACCGTGTGATGACAGCCTAAGTAAGAAAGTAGTAGGTAGTGGGAAAGACTGGCCAAGAGCAGAAAATCCACAAAATACAAATATAGGAAATGAACCCACAAAATATAAATATAGGAAATGAGTCGCAGTGTTTTAATATTTTCTTACCATCAAGCATCTGGTAAACATGAAGTCCTGCTGGTACAAACTTTGCCACACTAAGAACCATATCTCCTTCCCAAAAATCTAACAGCTACAGAATATTAATGGAAGAAAAGAGAACAATGAGAAGTAACATAAGTATCACATTTCCAGGTAAAAGAACACCACCGAACTAGTTCTCATATGTTTAGATGATACGGGGAGCGAGCAAACCCATCCCACCCAACACCAAAAGTGTGGCAAGAAGACATCACTCGTTGCTAAATTAGCCAAATCCAAAGATGGTCAAGCTCATCCATTAGTGACTGGAGAATGCTGGTGAACAACTGTACTTAATTTATGGGAAGACCACTTTTATTAGAAGGCAAACTGATTAACATGCCAGCCCAGAAATCTTTGTCCAAAAGAGCAAAAATCATTTGTTTAATTAGCACCATTCAGGGAAAAGCAGCATGGACTCTAGCACACATCAAAATTCTCAATAATCTGAAAGGAATGTTTTGCATCATAAATTCAAAAAGTGGCATTACCAGTTTCTATAGGACCATGGATTTGTTTTTAAATTTCTAGATCCAAGACTCTGGGGACTGGTCATCTCACCAGAATATCATCATCCATAAAGTCAGTCCTGTTTTGTCTCTCTCCACAGTAGCACAAGGTAGTTCTCTTAAAAAGAAATTTCCTGGGGCACCTGGGTGGCTCAGTTGGTTAAGTGTCTGCCTTCAGCTCAGGTCATGATCTCAGGGTCCTGGGATCGAGCCCCACATGGGGCTCCCTGCTCAGTGGGGAGCCTGCTTCCCTCTCTGCCCCTGCCCCGGCTCATGCGCTCCCTCTCTCCCAAATAAATAAATAAAATCTTAAAAAAAAAAAAAAATGTTCTCTTTACAAGTGATTAGTTAACTGCAAGAGTTTTGTAGCCTCCTGCCAGGGGCTTACTTCTAAGATAACAGAGATGTGCACTTCAAACACCAGAAAGCAGACTGGAGCGAATCGAAAACCTATGAACGTGAACAGGTCTGTTCCATCTGAAAGGCCCCCTAGACAGGGTCAGCTCCCCACGCCCACTTACACCAACACTGCGGGACTGGCTCCGGGATGAACTTTTAATGCAAAAATTTGGAAACATTAGGAAATTTCAGAAATCCTGATACTAATCTAAAACTGAAATATCATTCAAATCGACTAAGGTTAACCAAGAAACTGGCTTGTTTTGCTTTGTACAAGAGAAAAATAGAAAAAAATAAAGGAATAATTTTGGGGATTGATGAGTTTGCCAGAAAATTCATTTATTTCTGCAAAAAAGAAAAGGCTACATTTTCTTTTAAGATTTATTTATTTTAGAGAGAGAGTGAGAGAGCATGAGTGAATGTGCACATGCTAGGGGGAGGGGCAGAGGGAGAGAGAGAGAATCTCAAGCCGACTCCCTGCTGAGTGCGGAGCCCGAATCAGGGCTCGATCTCACGACCCCGAGATCATGACCTGAGCTGAAATCAAGAGTCAGATGCTTAACTGACTGAGGCACCCAGGCGCCCCAAAGCCTACATTTTCTATTTTCCTTTTCATTGATCAGGAAGTCGTGAGAGGTGACAAAGTATGACCAAAAGGATGGAAGGAGTAAGGAGACCAGGGCTGAAGTCTGACTGCAAGCCACTAGATCTCTCTAAGTTACAAGTTTTTCACCTTTAAAATGGGATTAGCTTGCCTTTAGGTTACCCTGAGGTTAAAGAACCAAAGGACATAATTTATTTGAAGGCTCTACAAGTAAAATGAACAGCACTACTGTTGTCATTAAAACACACTTGGATTGATTACTTTGATGCAAGGATTTACAACAATGCTTGTTTTTACTGCACAACAGAAGGTATTTTCCTCCTCTGAAAAATTTTAGTAATAAATCCTATCCTATACTTAGGAAAGGGAGAAACGTTAGTTGCTTTTGTTTGTTTAGTTCTTGTTTTTAGGCAACATGCTTATCTTTTTTAAGACATTATTTATTTATTTGACAGAGAGAGACACAGCGAGAGAG